TCGGGGAAATTTCCCTCATTGAGCAGTACATTTAACCATCAATGATTGCGTTGTTTCACTGGGCGACCAAACAAATGATTAATTCCTCCGAGTACGCGAACATATACGGCGATAGGAAAAGTCCTTAAAACATGCATGCGACGATATTCATACGACAGGCAATAAAAAGCTAATTATTATATCCCGAAGGTAAAAGTACACGTCAATAGATTCATCGGCAAGATTATATAATTAACTAAATGTTTGAGACAATGGTGTGCGGCGGTGGCTAAGCTTCAATTAATTTGTGGGCAAGATTTGGTGTTCAAAAGAAAGGTTTAACACAATATTCTCCTTGTGAGCGTGTAGATTCGTAACGAAGGTTTCAAAAGTTTAGTTTGCATTGATGCATCTATTGGTAATTATAGGAGATAAAACATTTTTTAACAAAAAAATAACGACTAATGTACTTATAAACGACCGTATTCTTATCACTCTATGAGCAGCGATGCCTTCACGACCAGTTAATGGTTCATGTGTGGGTGTGTGTGATTGTCCCCTTTGATACATTTTTTGTGTTCAGCAGAGGCCGGGAGCTGTGTCGTGAGCTTGTGAGGGTGGGGGAAGGACATACAAACAGTGGCTTTTCTCCCTCGCGCGGGCGTGTCTGCAGTTAGCCGCCGGCTCTCTCTCCGCTGCTAGATGAGCTGCGTCGGTACGGTGCTCGCCATTGGCGGTGCGCGATGATTCAGTCGTCAGATCGTGCGCACAGCTCGTCCGCTGCTGGATGTCTTGGTTCCCAGCTGGTGCAGGTCGGTGTGTAGTCGAACACACGGTGCATTCGATGGCGCTCTCCTCTTTCTCACGGGCAGTCGGTCAGGCTCATTCCCCTGCTGGATGACGGGTCGACACGATGCTCGCCACTTGTCCGCTGTCAGCTGACACCCTTTGCTCGGTGGCGCTCGGTGGCGCTGCTCACTGCTCCGTTCTCTCTGGCGATGCTCGATGCTCTCGTTCGCTGGTGACCGGCACCAATGTCTGATGCTGCTGGTCCTGTGCCATGCTCACTTGGTCGATGCTTGACGCTCTCCGCCCTTTCTCTCGGCTGATTGCTCGTCAGCGCAACTCTGTCGGCTCATGCCGAACTCAGCTCTTAACGACACCTCGTTCCTTCTCTCTGCGAGACACGACACCCATGGTTGATGTCGGTGCCTGCTGGCAAGCTTCTGCCCCAGCTCCCTCGCGATACTCCCTCGCAAGACTGCGTCACAAGACTGCGTCACAAGACTGCGGAGCAAGACTGACGATTTGTGAATCGTGTTCGTACTTAGAAATGTATAATCCCTCCCCTCTCTCTTTCCCTTCTCACAAAGGACCCGAATTTCCTTCGATGTCGCTTGCTGTGGGGAGGGGAAGTGGTATGTGTGTCCGTGTGTGTGTTGATTTTATTGAGGTAATATAAGTTCATCAATGGAAGCGGCTTTCCCAGATTGCCTCCACGTGTGTCCTTTCAGCCCCTGCAATAATTAACCTGGGGGGGGAGGGGGTTCCCTTTCTTCCCCGCTCCCCTCCTTCCGTCGCGGTGGGTGTGACCTTCTTTGCCTGTGTGTGCAAATCTTGCTATCACGTGCGGCGGGAAGACAAAGGCGGTTGGGAGGCTCTTTTCCTATAGAATACATTACATCTTGGTTAGGTATGATTGACTTATTTCGCCCTTATTCTTCTGGATGACCCTTGGTCTAATACTTCATAATTAATATTTGGTTTGTGCAGTGGCGGCTCCTGCAAAATCTCTCAGAGGGGGCAAATGTCTGGATGATTGATAAGGATAAGGTCCACCCATGCAATGGATAAATTAACAGCTTAAGCATGTAAAGGCAACTTCACTTCTTTAATATTAATGAAAAATAAAGTGACTCTTACAATACATCTTGTTTGTTTCTATACTCACTATTAATACAATCCACTCAAGTTTCTTTTATTAAAGATTCCACTAGGTGGCGACAAATTATATTGTTGGATGAAACGTGCTTACGTATGATGACGTAAGCACGTTAGGGCGAGCCCTCCCGGAAGCCATAGAGAATGCATTGCAGCGCCCCCCGGTCGAAAAAAAACATCTTTGAATGTAAGTCTATGGGGCCACTCGGGGCGATTCTCAGCCGGAGTGAAATCGCCCAAAAAGAGGCGGTACTCCACAGAACGTGACATGACGCTGATTGGACTATATCCAGAGGCACAGTGACGGCTAGCGTGACTCTGTGGTTGAATGACATTGGTGGTGCGTCGCCCAATCGCCCTAATGAAGAAACCGCCCCTGGGTTTGTGTTTATTCAAGATTTGTGATTTAGCATTGGTATTACCACGTATTTTCATAGGGTTTACTAACCTTTGTTCCACCGCCTGTATCCTGGGTTTGTGCTGTTTGTTCTCGAGTTATTATTATCTGATATCCCGAGGTTAGAGAATTCGTTTTGGCTTAAGAACATCCCTGACTGCCAGAACTCTTCTTTGACGTTTTGGTCAGATCGCGTAGATATAGATAAAGATAAAAATAAATTACATTAGTATTAAAATAATGAATGAGAAATGATAATCCACTGATATAGATTGTAGCCTGGTTCTTAATTGGAGTGAGTGTGTGGGTTTATAATGTTCACTTAATCTTTGTCGCTAAGTTTGAACTTTTACCGTTGTTAGAAGAAATATGAGAAAAAGTTAACAAACGAAAAAAAAACGTCTGTTTCGTTATCCTTCGTCCGACGGGGGGGGGGACGTGTGTGGGTTGTTCTGATTTGATGACTGGCTCCTTCCTTTGCCCCGGGTTTATTATTTAATGGCATTTTACGACCTCCAGATGCTTGGTGCTTGTGTGTGTGCTGCGGTGTTAAATGTTTTGGTTTCATTATTTATTATTCAAAAAATATATATATTGGCCGAATTATTATTAATATGACTTTTGGAAAAAGGCTCATATATACAACACACCCTTCAGCATCAACGGAGGGCAGATGAGCAACGCTCACAACAATGAGTGGAGGTTCTCGCAGCTAAAACAAAACAAGTTGACACAGTAGCGGGCACAGGTGATCCATCGGCCAGTTATCTCAGTCAGTAAACCCATGGTACTTGGGACTGTCCCGTGACCTCCTGCCAGTGGGCATTCAATACTTCACGTGGCCTTAACGAGCACATGGCCTTGTGCAGGCGCCGAGGTGACGTCATCGCCACTGAGTGGTGAATGACGATTGTTGTATATAGGAGTACAGACAGTCCCCAGGTTGCGGAAGATCAGACTTATGGAAATCTGACCTTATGGAAATGCTCCCATAAATAATGTAAAAAAAACATTTCAACTTGCGGAAATGTTTGCGTTAGTTACGTAAGCGCAAGTCGTCGAGTGCGGTGAGTCAGGGGATGAATACCGCAGAGTGACGCTTAAACGCAGGGCTGGCTGCAGCTCCCTCTACAGCCCTGCCTTTAGAACCTATGACTGCTGATGTTGACCCCGATGATCATGGAGTGACTGACTTGGAGACATAAGTTCTTGGAGGCAGTTATTTAATTAACACCTCAGACTTTATACAATACACACCCTATATGGTTACACACTCTGCTGCCACTCGCTTATACGCAACTCCACACTGGTTGCTATCCTACACACAACACTAGCCATCTGACTTGATGGTGCTATACTAAGACCGTCAACTATGACCTAGTAGCGTAATTTATCAAGTGAGGATGACAGCGACGAAGGCGGCGAGACGACATCATTGATGGTGATGATTTTCAGCAGCAACGACAGGAATCCCACTCCAAACTACAGCCCCGAGGTCCCCTTTTGAGGCCCTTCTTATACTCTCAGCGTAGCCACGCTCCACCCCGGCTACACCCCCCTTCTAGAACCTACGAGCGAGCTCTCGACATGTCCCTTCCGTAACCTTTCCCCTAGATCCCTCTTGGGTCTATCACGTGGCCTGCTGTCAGTCAGGGCTACTACAATCTGCAGATCCCCTTACCTGCCAGCAGCCAGCGCTATGCTGCTTCGTGACCAATTCTATGTCACTACAATTGTAATGTTTGTCTCCTATCCTTCTTCCTCGTCTAGCAATACAATTATTCATAATTTACAACGATTTCCGGCTATGGGATTTTATCGTTCATTTTGGGGGGATATTTATCAGTTTCTGACATACGGATCGATCTCAGGAACCCAACCCTTCCGTAACCCAGGGACTGTCTATGTTGTAATGCGTGTAAGGGTATCATGGTTTGTGTAGGGGTATTGTGGTGCATTTAGGGGTATCGTGGTGTGTGTAGTGGTATTGTGGTGTGTGTAGTGGTATCGTGGTGCATGTGTAGTGAGTTCTGGAGACACTTGTAGAGGCAACCTTCGTATACAGACTAGGAACACAGCCTACGTCTAACGTGCCTGACACCGGCTATGCTCTCAGGTCCTCCGGCTATGAATTACCTAGGGGACCCGACCCAGCCAAGGTATGGGTCTCAACCACTGGCTTCCTCGGACCTGGCCCTTACAAGGACGTCAGGCCAGGAGTCCTAGGGTCTTGCCACTGGCCCACACAGAGCCTCGGCCCTTACAAGGACAGCGGGGCTAGGGGTCCCAGGGTCCTAGGCTGGCTGGTCTTTTGGCTTCTGTCTTGGATTGGCCCCGAACCTCTGGAGAGGTCCGCTTTTAATACACCTTCCCCACGAAGGGGCGGGGTCCCGGGGGATCCTGGAACACCTCGCAGACCCCTCCCGTTGGGAGGGGGCAGTGGGGGATCCCAGAACACCCCGCAGCCCCTCCTGCTTTTGGGTTGGGCAATGCAGCGACTCCCTGCTGGTACGAGGTACCGCCGCCCTTGATGGGCCCTGTCCACTACTGCAGGTACGTGTGGCCCATCTACGGCGCTACACATGTATGAGTACCATGGTGCGTGTATGGGTATTGTAGTTCATGTATTGGGTTGAGTGTAGGGATTTCTGAGTGATTATTTTCTCTCTCTCTCTGATTGCAGAGAAGACATTTGTGGACTGTGGAGGCCTCAAGTTCCTGCTGAGCCTGCTCAAGCACCACGCCTGCCAGGGCCTCGTGCTGCGCTTTGTGAGTCACGCGGGGGGGGGGGGGGGGGTGAGCCTGAGTCTGCGAGTGAGAGAGTTCGAGTTTGAGAGAGTGTGGTAATGTTTGATTAAGTTGGTGTGAGAAAGTGTGCCGGTGAGAGTGTGTGAGAGTGAGAGAATGAGTGTGTATGCGAGTGTATGTGGTACAATGGACCAACGTTTTTTTAGCGCTGTGCCTATGCCAAGTCTGTAAATAACATCACAGTCGTTCAATATGGAAAGTATAGTAACTCTAACAATATCCAATGGTAGTCAGGCTTGAATGCAAAGTTTATTTACGTACAGGAAGGCAATTTTTATCTTTATTTTTTTCCAAACATGATCAACATGTACAGAGAAAAATAGCTTGTGAATAAGAATGACACCTCGATATTTAAACTAATCAACAAGTTCAATTTGTTGAGAGTCATACGCCATAAATGTGGTAGTGGGGAGGGGTTCAATTCATTATTTTCAAGAGAGCACTATAAGTTTTGTCTTGCTGTCATTCAGAAAAAAAGTTTTAGATCATTTAGTTGCATTTGGCGAAAGTCAAAGATTGTTGCAGCTTAGTAAACAGCTAATCCTCAGATTTGCTATACACCACCACAGCAGTGTCATCAGAAAACAGATTTAGGTTGGAGTGGATCAGTGAGTCTCCTAAATTGTTGAGAGCACCGAGTATGGAGCCCTGAGGGACACCTTTGGTGACAGGGGTTTTGTTCGAGGAAAGGCTGTTTATTGAGATTACTTGTGTAGCTCTTAAACAAGTTTACCATGTAATAATGTGTCACCTGTACCAAATGCTTTAGAAAAGTCAAGAAAAAGGATGACACAGAGGTGTTTATTATTATCCAGGCTGTTGAAGATAAGATCAAGAGTGTCTAGCACCACTGATGTTGTGGTGACCTTTTCTCTATAGGCTGATTGCTTGGGGTAGATAAGTTATTATTTTGGATCAAATCAGTAATTTGTATTTTTAGTAGCCCTTCGAAGATTTGGATCATCAGTGCTTTATGAAGCAGTTGAAGAGGTTAAAAATATGGGAGATGAGTTCAGAAATGTGGTTATCCACACATGCAGGGCAAAGACAGGAAGATAATCAGCACCATCCAAGAATGAGGTTTTTAATGTAGTGTGCGTGTCAGTGATATCTAAGGCAGAGATTGGTTTTAAATCTAATTTTGGAGCATTGGTGGGGGACTTGGGGAGACTCATACCAAAGAGACAAAACCCACAAACACAGAGTGAAACAGACATGGAGGGGTGTGGAGAGAGAGGCACAGAGAGACTCAGACAGAAATACACGGAGAAATAATGTGTGATACAGAGATGCAGAAAGCATCGGATTGGCAGCAGCTCATGTGGCCAAGTATGTTCACTCCTGCTTGTGCACAATCCCCAGTGCTGACCCACAACTATAACGCAAACACAGCACGAAATGGATATTAGCTCCATTGGAGCCCAGTACAAACTTGGGTGCCAGCCATATACTAGCTGCATATTGTTCCAGGTACTAGCTTTAGTACTTCTGTAGTGGGTTCTAATCAGGCGCACACCAAGACTTGGAGGCAACACATTTATTCACAAACACAACCAACACTGCTCAACGTTCCAAGGTTAACTATGTACATTTCGGGTAACTATGTACATTATGGGTTAACTACGTAAGGTGGTGGCCACCATTTCTAACCACCTAACCACTTGAACGGCATCTCTATATGGTTGAACCAGAACAGCCGACACACCGTCGGATCGTCGTGTACGGAGACTGAAGAGCGAGGATCGAAGAAGGTGGCTTCATTCCCGGATCGAACAGCCCCGCTCCCTCTCGGGACTCGGCTTATATCTCCTGTGATGTGACCGGGTTCCGCCCCTAGACATGACCCCCTTCTCGATCCTTCGCGGAGGCTCTGGGTCCACATCACGTGGCCCGCTCACCCCTTTCTGGGGGCCCCCGTGCCCCCTCGTCTGGTCACGTGCTCTCACGGGTTCACTCAGACTGTCATGTCCTGAGCCGACCTCTGTGACATCCGGAAATCTGTCCTATAGTGAGCCCCTATGTATAGTACACCCACTGTCGCCATAGATCGGCTTATTTATGTCGTTACACTTCTTCTATCTGATGCATTGACTCAATAGCAGCTCGATAGCAGCATGGGCAGAAGCTCAATTCTGCTTCTGAATCGAGTACTGGACAAGTTTAGTCAGGTGCTGATCTGGGTAGGAGCCTATAACTATATTCTCCTACTTTCCCAAGATGGCTACTGCTGACTGGTATTGGCCTCGGCACAAGCAGTGCATATGTTGAGTAGCTACTCGCACAGCATTGCGGTGCTAGTGTGTGTCATAGCCCAGTGATGCACCAGGGATTGTTTTTGTCATGTCCACACAGCAGCCCGATGCTTGTCTGTATACTCGCCCAGTGATAACCCAGGGATTTTCTAAGGCGTGTCCATACAGCCGCCTGGTGCTAGTGTGTGAACTAGCGCAGTAATAACCCAGGCATTGTCTTGTGTTTTTACTAGCCCTGTGATAACCCAGTTATTGCCTCAGACATATCTACACAACACCGAGTATCATCTTTGTTTTATTCCATTACAAAGAAGGGCACAACGAGAGAGATGAACACGGGAGAGAGCAGAGCAGTACACGCAGCAGTACAGACATGAAGGGATAGCACAGATGTAAAGTAGAACACATATCAAGCAGCAGTGCAGACATAAAGGGCAGTATAGACATGAAATAGCTGAACCTGGAGCATGCCACTAAGAGATGAAGCCTTAACATCAGTTTCACAAACACATAGTACCTGCCTGGGTATTCTGTATCATCAAATACTCCACCCAGTCAATTACCCATGAGTGATAGCGAAATTGTGGAGATAGTGGAGAAGTTTCCATACCTGGGCAGTGTGCTTATGGCTAACTCCAGTTTAGTAGCGAAGGTCTGACTGAATAAATGTAGCAGAATTCTCTTTTCATTAGCTACACAACGCTGTGGCAACTACCTTGCATATAGTGCCATACAAAGCTCCAGGTGTTCTTGGCCCCAGTTATGCACTCTCTTCTCTATTCTGCGCTGGTTGGAAACATTCAGGCTGGCCTGCTTACGATCGATCCTGGGGTTAACCAAACTAGACTTTATGAACTCACAGATGTTTGAAATATTTGGAGACAGTCCCATGAGCGAGATCCTCTGGCAGGCAATGCTGCATTGGGTCGGTCGTGTAGCCATATACACAACAACAACGGCCATTCGCCACTAAGTGGCGGTGACGTCACCACGAAGCTTGTGCCAGGATATGTGCACCTTGAGGCCATGTACACAGCCACTTTATGCACAATTACTTTCTGTTTGGCCGGATAGAGGGGGCTAAGCAGCCACGACACGGGCAAGCAGCAGAACGGGTATGAAGCAGCAGAACATACTTGAAGGGGCAGTATAGACATGAAGTAGCAGTACAGACGTGAAGGAGCCGTATATACATGAAGAAGTAGCACAGGCACAAAGGAGCAACAGAGACATGAAGTCGCCATATATACATGAAAAATCAGTGCAGACATGAAGCAACAGTACAGACAGTGTATTGAATAGTACAAATATCATTAGAATGTGTTGTTATTTTACTGACATGTTTAATGTCAGGCTCATGTTACACTGTGCAGTAATTTTTTTGAAACCCATTTGTTTTTCTGACATCTTCTCAAGGAATCCCGCAACACGCTGAGGTTTGCTGTTACAACTTTGGCAAACCTGAGCGAGGAGGTGGAGCTGAAGTCGTGCTTCCATCAAGAGCTGGCGGCGGACGTGCTGGCCTGCTACCTGGACGTGCCCGATGCACCCTGCAAGCTCTCCGCTCTGTCTGCCCTGGCCAGGATCACCACTGAGCAGGACCTGGACATCATCTGTAATGCAAAGGGTGAGCGGATGGGCGTTAGACTGGAGAGCTGTGATTAGGCCATGTTTGGAGGAGATCATGTTTAAAGCAGTGCAAGATAAGCATGTCATTAGCATGAAATTACAAGTTAGAGTACATGTGTCAGGACACATTCGGTAAGATGTGTGTAAATATGTAGAGTGCAAATGTAGAAAGATTGTCTTAAGTTAAAACTAAGGACAATGTTGTGTTCCTTTTCACTACAAGGCTAAACAATGACTTTTATGCAATCATCATGGGACCTCCTTTGCCAGTACCAAAATATACTAATAGGGGTTTTCCCCTTTTTTTCTGGCAACAAAACTGATACCTTTTGCAAGGAATCATGCTTACATTAACCACAATACTTGCAGTCAAATGCAAACAAAAAACAATACTCTGATAATTTATGCATTGTCTTTGAAACTGATTGGTCCACACCAGAGACAGCTTTCTTTGGAGCCTCGTCTCATATGGTGTTCGACCAGATGACGCCAAAAGGCGCACAGTTCCAAGACAACGCACTACCAGAGTAATGAGGGCTCGGGGTGAGCAGCTACATCATGGGACCTCCTTTGCTAGTACCAAAATATACTAATAGGGGTTTTCCCCTTTTTTCTGGCAACAAAACTGATACCTTTTTCAAGGAATCATGCTTACATTAACCACAATACTTGCAGTCAAATGCAAACAAAAAACAATACTCTGATAATTTATGCATTGTCTTTGAAACTGATTGGTCCACACCAGAGACAGCTTTCTTTGGAGCCTCGTCTCATATGGTGTTCGACCAGATGACGCCAAAAGGCGCACAGTTCCAAGACAACGCACTACCAGAGTAATGAGGGCTCGGGGTGAGCAGCTACATCATGGGACCTCCTTTGCTAGTACCAAAATATACTAATAGGGGTTTTCCCCTTTTTTCTGGCAACAAAACTGATACCTTTTTCAAGGAATCATGCTTACATTAACCACAATACTTGCAGTCAAATGCAAACAAAAAACAATACTCTGATAATTTATGCATTGTCTTTGAAACTGATTGGTCCACACCAGAGACAGCTTTCTTTGGAGCCTCGTCTCATATGGTGTTCGACCAGATGATGCCAAAAGGCGCACAGTTCCAAGACAACGCACTACCAGAGTAATGAGGGCTCGAGGTGAGCAGCTACATCATGGGACCTCCTTTGCCAGTACCAAAATATACTAATAGGGGTTTTCCCTTTTTTTCTGGCAACAAAACTGATACCTTTTGCAAGGAATCATGCTTACATTAACCACAATACTTGCATTCAAATGCAAACACAGCAAGTAGAGCCTGAGTTCGATTCACGACTCAGGTGCCTTGCTGGTCTCCCCTGTTCTGCATTGGTATCCTGCAGGTTCTCCTCCTATAGAGAAAAAAAACATGCAGTGTGACTGGTATAGGTCAAATATCCCATTGCTTAATTTTTTCCTGAAAATTGACATTACACTTCACCATCTACCCCTTTTGCAAAAACTTGGCAGAACCCTCCTGGAAAAAAAGTTTAAATGTATTAAATATTAGATATATGTGAATGAGTGGTGTTAAATATTTGGTCTACATCAAAACACCAGAAAGGTTATTAACGAGAGGGAACCATTCGGTCAATTTTGCTCAGTCGATCAGAAAACCACAGTCGAGTTGCTGTGTATGATCCAAATAATCAAAGTTGAGTATTTGGTGGGTAGGTTTTCAAATCTGAACCATGACGGCGGCACACAATGACTTCTCTTGCGGCACACAATGACTTGTCTTGCAAAAGGCATCACATGATCTTTAGCATCACATGATCTTTAGTGTCTACTGTGTAGCAGACAACACATTGTAGTATGGTTAATACACTCATCACCATTTTATGTTGGTCAAACAAAGTGTGGAACATGAACAGTGGGAAAATGAAAACAGAGAAAGGTGGGGATCAGACTGAAGGGAAGTGTGCACTGCTCAGCTGATGTACAGGAATCAGCCACCATCTGTGCCTGCTGCTGCTCTAATGTAGTAAGTAACACTGTAACTAGGCCAGTGTTGGGTTAATAACAGAGATGATTAAGCATGGTGAACTGAAGGACATGCATGTTTGCATTGCAAAGTTCTGCATGCTGAAGCATGATGATTCTTGCTGGGCTTTATTTTCCTTGTGATTTCCAATACTGTCAACACACTCGCAAAGCACAATGTGCACACAAATAAACAAGCTGCAAGTGTACAGTGTTAGTGCATTTGCTGCTGTAGAGGCTGTTGAGCAATCACAATGCAATCTGCACAATACGTATTCACTGTTGTACAGTCAAAACACGACATTAAAAAACAAATACCAAAAAGCCCAGATGCACTCGATATGCAAAACAACAAATCATAATCACTCAATGCAAACGGGGAAAGGGTTGTTTTATTACGTGTAAAAATGTGTTGTATATGTTGGATTATGAAATTTTGATAAAAATAATAAAAATTATAACAATTTCGAAAAAGGACAAATCGCATAAATTATGTTAATGTGTGTAATTATATGCATAAATTATGATAATCACTGAGATAATCGTGGTAATTTATGCGAATGCTTGCGATTATGTTAATGTGTGCAGTTATGATAACTAGGCTTAGCTTCGTTATCCAGAGTTGTATCAATCGGGATAAAACAATTATCTTTGATTGAACATTTACTGATTATCTTAGTGTGTTTATGGTATGTTAGGTCTCCAATTTCATATCTCATCGCAGGATACAGTTCTTATGAATAAGACAGTTTTGCATGGACTTGGAAGAAACACTCGAGATACTTCTGTGTTAACAATTTTATTCTAAACAAACATGTGACATTCTAGCATGCACAGGCGAAAGCATACGTCAATACATTCATGAGCAAGATTATGCAATTAACGAAAATAAATGACTAAAACACTTATTCATGTAACTCGACGGCAGCAACTGCTTTGCACGATCAGTTGATATTGAACGCACCACCTTGAAATGGCAACCCTTTTTGAAACGCAAAGATAACTTTTGAAAGTCTTATTCGTGTGCGTGTTGTGTGTGCGTTGTCCCCTTGTAAAATTAATTAAATTTTCTTAGAGGCGGGAGTTGTGTCGTTAGCTTGTGGGGTGGGGGAGGATACAACCAGCCGCCAGAGAAGTTCCTCTCGCTTGGGCGTGGCTGCAGCGAGCCCGTGTTGCTCCCTCTCCACTGCTCGATTGAGTTGGCACGACGCTCGCCGACGTGGTGCGCGATGATTCTGTCGTCGCTGCTGGACGTCTTGTCTGTTCTCACTGGGTGTTGGTCGGTGTATGTATCAAACATATGGCGCATTCGATGGCGCTCTCTCTCTCTCTTGGTGGCAGCTCTGGAGCTCCACTGCTGGATGATTGTTGAGTCGGCACGACGCTCGTTGACGCCCGGGTCGTGCTGCTGCTGTCGCTCTCTCCTTGATCACTGCCAACTTCACACGGACACTCGCCCTTACTTCAGGCTGTGTTGGCTCAGGCTCTGGACGACGCGGCTGTGCGCGCTCACCGGCTTGGAGCGCTCTCTCTCTCTCTTGCTTTCCTTTGTTCGTGCAGCTGCCAGCTTCATACGGGCACTCGCTGATGCCTCTCCCGCCCTCACTTCAGGGGCTTCGTTGTTTAAGTTCTCTCACGAGAATTATAGCTGGAATCTCCGTCAGCTTCACTCGCAGCTCGGCGACTCAGGGTAGCGATTCTTCTTAGGTGGTGCAGACCTCAGCTTGTCGATGCACGTCGCTACCCCGCGAACATCGTCATTCTGGATGACGGAAGAGCTTCTTCGTTGTCGGCGTTGATGATGAGATGGGGCCGGAGCCCTGGTGAGAGGTGGGGGCCGGAGCCCTGGAGAGAGATGGGGGCCCTGAGCCATGGTGATCTGTGGGGGCCGGAGCCCCGGAGAGATCTCCGTTGAATGGATTTTTCCTTGGCTTATATCGGGAAAGTCCACTCAGTTTTTCTGAGTTGTTCAAAGACCAGACCATATAACTTTTTCGTTGTGGGGATGGACAAATCTGTGTCCGTGTGTGTCGCGTGCGTGTCCGTCCGTATGTGTCGCGTGTGTGTTTATTGGAGCTTTAAAGACACAGCTGTCCGTAATAATTCTGGAAGGAGGGGTGGGGTTTTCTCGCGAACGGCGCCACACACGAGTCATCAACTAAACCAGACCGACGATTCGCGTTCGTACCGAAGTTACACAATCCTAATCCACGTTTTTGATTATGAATAATATTGGTCGCGAAAGCCTACGCGTTAAGCCAGTCTTATAATCCCTTCCCTCGCTCTGGGCGTTTATCCTTGTCTCACACCGCTTCGTTTGGTTTGGAAGTTAAAACGACTCACTTTGCTGTTTAGTATTATTGTGATTTGATTGTAAGTAGCCGTGTTCACGGTATTTCATCGTGGTTTGATCTCCCTATGGGAAATGTTATTTGCTCGCGTGCGCAAATCTTGCTGTTCGTGCTGCGGGGAGACAAAGACGGCTGTGCTCCGTTGTTGGAGCACCCTGCGCGTGTGTTTATTATTTTTTTAAGAGCATCTGCTTCTGTTAATTCCTTTCTTGAGCCGTCGCCCGCTCGCCACGAACTTTTATGAGGGCCATTTCCTGGCTGTGTGCCTGCTCTGTGGTCGTTCCTCTCGGGAAGACAAAGACGGTTGTGAGCTGCTCGCTTCCCCTGGAGTGTTGCGTGTTGGTTAATTATGATAGACTTCTCCGCCCTTAACTCTCCTAGGAGATCCACTCTAATTTCGTACTTATTATTTGACTTCTTGTTATTATTTAATCTGATATCCCGGGGCTAGGGAATTTGTTTTTTTTTTGGAGCGGCCCTGACTGCCATAATTATTCTTTGATGCTTCGGCCCGTATTTGTAGAAAATTATTAACGGTAAATAATGTCAGTATTGAATTAACAAATGAGGATTCACGACCCTGGTGCAGACTGTAGTCTGGTTTCCAATTGGAGCGAGGATAGATAATGTTTGCTTAATCTTCATGGCTAAGTTGGTAACTTTGTTTAACTAACATGGTTCAAAACCCGTCTTGTTTTCTTGTTGTCAATGCTATTTTTTGTTAAGAATATAATTATATATATTTCGTGGCGCCTGGTTTTTGTATTGTAAAAGGGCCTTTTGAAGAATGGGTGTTATTCTAACCCCCGCTTGCAACTCCCCCCCTCCCCTTCTTTTGTGTGAAATTCGGGGAAGTTTTATGACATTTGATGGTTGTCTCTTTTATGCTTTCTGGCCTTTGAAGCGAGGTGTGCACGCATCTGTGGAAGTGGGGGAATGGGTTTTCCGCTCGTCTTTGTTTGCTCCCAAGTTGCCCCGTGTCTATTAAAAAAATTAGTATATATGTTGGCTGAATTATTCTTAATATTAATTTGGAAAAAAGGGGTATAGACACAACAAATGTTATGCCTCTTTTTTTTAGCAATCAGTGGCCCAATGGCTGTACACAACATCTCACGTTGCCTTCTACATCTCAGCTAATTTAACTTTTTTTCTGATTAGTTGTATTTGCTAATTTTCACATGTAAAATATGGCACATTTTGCCTAAACACTACAATTTTAATGGTGCTGTACTATTAGAGTAATTGAGTAATGTATGCTCATGGTGTGCAGGAGCCATCTCCCTGCTGACAGACATGGTGAACCGGACCTCATACAAGGACTTCATATTGCTGGAGAACATCTTGTACTCATCCAAGAGGCTGGTGGAGACTCTCACCATGATCTCCATCACAGCCGGCATCCGCAGAAAGGTGAGGCCTGGTGCGCAATGGCGCCGACTGCATGGTAATGCTCTATGGGTCCAACGTTGGGCTAAGCCAGGGGAGAGCCCTGAGAGACGTGGAGTTTCTTCCACAATAGAGCTCTGGGGAAGTATAAATGACTCAGTGACAACAAGGCAAGTCTTGGTGTCATGCAGGGTGGCAAAACACTGGTGTGAACATTATAATATAATAGACACTGATGAAGAATGACTTTAGATATAATGTTAAAGGAAATGTCTAAGTATCAATATTATAATTTTTTATCAAGAATCCAACCGTATAGTCCTCCGAGAGGTATACATGGTGAACAATCGCACAGCGGTCCAGGGGAGCACGTGAGGACTCGGAATGAGGAGGGATATATAAGGGGAGTGTGCGTGAGCGGAGGGGGAGTTGCCCGGGAACCAAGAGTGAAGACATCTCGCCGCTGCCCTCTGTTCCATGCCAGCCAACCTCAGGCACATTCTCACAGGGTGTAAAACAAGCCTCACCCAAGGACGCTACACTTGGCGTCACAACCAAGTCCTTAAAAACCTTGCGTCCGCCCTGGAGGACAAGCGAGCTGCCACCAACTCCCTACCACCCCCAGCAGCATCACACCCCTTACGGACGACCTTTGTCCGCGAAGGGGCTAAACCACCGAAGAGCGGCTCTACACCAATAGAGCGAGACCAGCTGCGCTTGGCCCGCGACTGGAAAATGCTAGCTGACATTGGCCGGCAACTTGTGTTTCCTCCGGAGATCGCAACCACCACCCTAAGACCTGACGTGGTGCTCTGGTCCCGTTCGCTCAAGAAGGTCTTCATCATTGAGCTCACAGTACCCTGGGAGGACTCAGTAGATGAGGCTTATGAGCGAAAACATCTGCGCTATGCCGATCTAGCTGCCGAAGCACGGCATCATGGCTGGAACACAGAAGTCCGACCAGTGGAGGTGGGCTGCAGAGGTTTTGTGGCAACATCTACAACCAGACTGCTTAGAGACCTGGGAATTAAGGGCCAGAGCCAGCGTCCGGCAATCAAAGCTGTATCGGAGGCGGCAGAAGGCAGCAGTCAGTGGCTCTGGATGAAGAGGAAAGACCCCAGCTGGGCCCCAAAGTGAGAGGGCCAGGAGGTATGCAGTCAACAATGCTTGACTCAGGGAGGAGGACGCCCCTGCCATGCATAGTCCCATGGGATGTTGGCTACCAACAACAAGGCAACTCCTATGACTAATTGGGAATGGGACGCAAGCGTAGGATTGATCACCCTGTCGCTGGCCGCCTTTGGGGAGGGTGTATAGTATGAAAGGCCGAAACACCCTAGGAACCAAAGGGTCACTACTGACGATGTGCTCCCCAAATTTCACCAGGCTCACTGTTCATGAACTCTTGGAAGTGCTTGCACAAAGGATAGTAACATCTCATCCTGTGTTCTTTGGAATCTGAATATCTGGACTTGTCCAGTGACTGCTGAGAAAGATCAGCTGACAACAGGGGAAAGTCCTTGTGGCGGCACGGAGAGACGGCTGACAGGAGGGAATAGACCCCACTGGGACAGTCATGGGTTAGCTTCCCATTTCTGTAGTTTCCCATGCTTCGCAGTATGTTGGAAACACCCGATTTAGCTACAGAAAGTCAACATACGAGAATACCCCTAGAGTCTGCGAGAGCGGGGGCGGAAGATGACTCATCGACTGACAACATGGTAACGACTGGACCGGAAACGACTACGAGTAATGAGAGCACAGCACAAGAGAACACCACAGCAACTGTCACAAGTTCCGCTGCAACAGCAGGCCACAAACAGATGCAGGTATGTGTCTGTGGTTGGAGGAAAGTTACATCACACCATGGGTTGAGGATCCACCAGGGGAAGAAGGGGTGTTTGGGTAAAGAGAGACAGAGGCCTCGCATTGATTACTTTCTGCGAAAGCGATCAAATCAGTCGAATGAAGCACAGCAACTGGACGCAAACCATAGTTTGCAGTGCATCAGTACCACTGTCATGGAAGACGTAAACTCAAGCACCGAAGTAACAACTGAGGTGAAACCAACAACAGGAGTGGAACTCACCCAGCCTCCGAGACCTGCAATCGAGAGGAGACTACCAGGGCACAGACCGTATGTGAAGTGGCCTGGCGCCAGTGACAAGAAGTTGTGGGAAACAGTGAATACTGACCTTACCTTGACCCTCGAGAAACTTCGAGGCACTGTGGAGAAGAAGTTGGAGAGGATGGGGGACATCATCTATGAGTACGGGGCAGAAAGCTTTGGAGTGCAAGAGGCAAAAGGCGGGAGAAAGGTTCCAACCCCACCAGTTTCCAGGAGGCAACAAGAAATCAAGCGCCTCGTTCAAGAAAGGAGACAGCTTAAGAAACAGTGGAAGAAAGCCTCGGAAGTGGAAAAGGAGGGCATAGAGGCACTTCAGGCTGACATCAAAACCCGGTTGGCATCCCTCCGTAGAGCAGAGAACCTACGGAAGCGCAGAAGGAAGAAAGAACAAACTAGAACTCGATTCTATAAAGATCCCTTCAAGTTCCTTAAAAGTCTCTTCACGAAGGAAAAAAGTGGAGTTCTAAAAACAACAAAGAAAGACCTAGAAGAGCACCTGAGAACAACAAACTTTGACTCAAAGCGACATGAACATCTGGCCATCCCATCAGATATCCCACCCATTGAACCCCCGGAACATCATATTGAGACTAGCCCTCCGACATGGAAAGAGGTGGAAAACACAGTTCGAAGGGCAAGAACAGCATCAGCCCCGGGGCCAAATAGAGTCCCGTACAAAGTGTATAAGAATGCACCAGACGTCCTGAGGTTCCTCTGGAGGCTTATGAGAACAGCTTGGCAAAAGAAGATAATACCCAAAGTGTGGCGTAGGGCAGGCGGGGTCCTGATCCCTAAGGAGAAGGATGCAGTGAACATCAGCCAATTCCGCCCAATCTCCTTACTGAATGTCGAGGGTAAAATCTTCTTTAGGATCATTGCCCAGAGGATGGCCGAGTACCTGCAAAGGAATGCGTACGTCGATACATCTGTACAGAAGGCAGGAATATCAGGGTTCTCTGGCTGCTTGGAACATTCCAGCATGATCTGGCACCAGATCCAAATGGCCAAGGTGGAGAAAAGGGACCTCCATGTAGTCTTCCTCGACCTCGCCAATGCATTTGGCTCTGTGCCCCATGAACTCCTGTGGTCTGCCTTCAGATTTTTCCACATACCGGACACCATCACAACCCTGGTGAAGTCGTACTTTCAGGATCTGCAGTTCTGCTTCACCACCTCAGAGTTCACCACCTCATGGCAATGCCTGAATGTAGGTATAATGGCGGGATGTACCATTATGAATGCCAATGGAGGTTATCATCAGATCCTCAAAATGGGTTGCTGGTGGACAGCGAGTCGACTCTGGTTTTCGCCTCCCTCCACTCAGAGCCTACATGGACGACATTACAACATTGACCACCACTGTCCCATGCACCAGGAGACTGCTCAGAAAACTCGAGGAGAACATCAGCTGGGCCCATATGAAGATTAAACCATCCAAGTCACGCAGCATCTCGATTGTGAAGGGAGTACTCTGTGACCTGAAATTCTTCATCGGAGATGACCAAATCCCAACAGTGTCTGAGCAGCCGGTAAAAAGCCTTGGAAGGTGGTATGATGCAAGCCTGAAGGACAAAGACCAGGTGCAACAGCTGCGCAAAGACATCAGTAGTAGCCTACAGTCCATCGACAACACCCAGCTACCTGGAAAGTTAAAGGCCTGGTGTCTGCAGTTTGGTCTCCTACCCCGGGTGTTGTGGCCCCTAGCAGTGTATGAGGTTCCAATCTCAACAGTGGAGAAGATGGAAAGAGGAGCCACGAGCTACTTAAAGAAGTGGCTCGGAGTTCCACGATGCCTTACCACCATAGGCCTCTATGGAGATGGTGTCCTCAAGCTGCCCCTCACCAGTCTAACCGAGGAATTCAAGTGTGCAAAAACCAGGCTCCAGATGACACTGAATGAATCTCGAGACCCAGTGGTGAGCAACAACGCGCCGACCTTGGCAACTGGGCGCAAATGGAGGCCAGGAAAAGCAGTCCAGGAGGCAACAGCAGCCCTCAGACATGCTGACATTGTGGGTCATGTTCAGCAAGGGAGAGGAGGCCTTGGGCTAACTAGCCGTGCTGCTTGAAGTAAGGCCACTGCACCAGAGCGGCGGAAGATGGTAGTGCAGGAAGTACGCCATCAGGAGGAGGCTGCAAGGTGGGCCAAGGCAGTCTCTCTTGCCAAACAAGGACAGTGGACTCGATGGGACAGTGTGCAGAAGAGGAAGATCAGCTGGAAGGATCTGTGGGCCACGGAAGCGAGGCGGTTGAGCTTCTCCATCAGAGCAACATATGACATCCTTCCAACACCAGTTAATCTTCACCAATGGTATGGTGAAGATCCGGACTGTGCCCTCTGTTCCATGCCAGCCAACCTCAGGCACATTCTCACAGGGTGTAAAACAAGCCTCACCCAAGGACGCTACACTTCGCGTCACAACCAAGTCCTTAAAAACCTTGCGTCCGCCCTGGAGGACAAGCGAGCTGCCACCAACTCCCTACCACCCCCAGCAGCATCACACCCCTTACGGACGACCTTTGTCCGCGAAGGGGCTAAACCACCGAAGAGCGGCTCTACACCAATAGAGCGAGACCAGCTGCGCTTGGCCCGCGACTGGAAAATGCTAGCTGACATTGGCCGGCAACTTGTGTTTCCTCCGGAGATCGCAACCACCACCCTAAGACCTGACGTGGTGCTCTGGTCCCGTTCGCTCAAGAAGGTCTTCATCATTGAGCTCACAGTACCCTGGGAGGACTCAGTAGATGAGGCTTATGAGCGAAAACATCTGCGCTATGCCGATCTAGCTGCCGAAGCACGGCATCATGGCTGGAACACAGAAGTCCGACCAGTGGAGGTGGGCTGCAGAGGTTTTGTGGCAACATCTACAACCAGACTGCTTAGAGACCTGGGAATTAAGGGCCAGAGCCAGCGTTCGGCAATCAAAGCTGTATCGGAGGCGGCAGAAGGCAGCAGTCAGTGGCTCTGGATGAAGAGGAAAGACCCCAGCTGGGCCCCAAAGTGAGAGGGCCAGGAGGTATGCAGTCAACAATGCTTGACTCAGGGAGGAGGACGCCCCTGCCATGCATAGTCCCATGGGATGTTGGCTACCAACAACAAGGCAACTCCTATGACTAATTGGGAATGGGACGCAAGCGTAGGATTGATCACCCTGTCGCTGGCCGCCTTTGGGGAGGGTGTATAGTATGAAAGGCCGAAACACCCTAGGAACCAAAGGGTCACTACTGACGATGCGCTCCCCAAATTTCACCAGGCTCACTGTTCATGAACTCTTGGAAGTGCTTGCACAAAGGATAGTAACATCTCATCCTGTGTTCTTTGGAATCTAACACTGTACATGAGGTGGTGACCACCTTCCTCAACTCACTAACACTCTGGAACGCGACACAGACTGGACCAGGCAGGCAACGGCCTGCCTGGCCCAGGACGACGACTCGGGACTTGACGACCGATGGTGTCTTCACTCTTCGGAATACAGTACAACCGCCTCGCTCTGCGTTCACACCACGCTTATATCTCGTCTCTGGCGTGGCCGGCTTCGCCCAGGCCACGCCTCCCTTCCCAGGCCACGCCTCCCTTCCCCCACCTCACGGGAGGTCTGGGTCCCTCCACCACGTGACCCCCCAGGCACCCTCTTGGGGCCCCCCAGCCCTCGTCCGGGCTGACACAGTAGTGACGTCTTATGTCACTACACATGCACGATCTTGGCTAACTGTGGTCTGTTTCGGAGACGGGGCAGGCTTGATTACGGCTAGTTTCCCTGTACCAAAAATACTTCAGGTCCCCAACAGGGGGCGTTGGGTCGGCGGATGTGTGTGTCGAAAAAACGGCGTTTTGTTCTCGGCTGCACCGTCAGGCTCCGTCCACAGTGGAGTGGTTGTCGATTCGGCACGCTACTCAGCTGGCTGCGGTGCCCGTGTTGGCAGGGATCGATGGGTCAGACTGTGTGCGATGGTCACGTTGCCAGATAGCGCTCGCAGCTCGTCTGCTGGGCGGCAGTGCGTCACCCCCCTTGGCACCAGACACGGTTGATTGTGCCTCGAGCTCGACCTTTGCTGGAGGGTGCTCGTCTTCTGAGTCAGTACGCTCGTGGTTAGGCGTTAGCCGCTGCGCTGCTGGTCAGTCCTCATTGCCTGTCAGGAGCAGATTGCTTCGCGCGACCACCATTGGTGTCCCCCCCCCCTTCCACAGGAGGGCTCCTGCTGTGCGCTGCTCGTCACACCTCCTCACTCACTCCCCACGCCTCCTCACTCACTCTCCAAAACTCATCAAAACTCTTATCAGAATATCAGTCGCTTGGACAACATTTCATGCATTCTCGATATTAGTGTATAACTCCAATCTCCACTTAACTTCTCACCCGTCTTATCTGATCACAATATTATATGAACACACAACTCTTATAGTTTAATACAAGTACAACTTCTCATAGTCCTCAACTCTACAAGCGACTCAAAACATAAATGTAGAATAAAACTTTCAGCGCTACTCAGTCTGTCAGCGCCGAACTTAACACTAAGCAACACATAGCCCCTCTCCTCTGCAAGACTCGACACCCATGGTTAATTTCGAAGATCATACCCCAAAGCTTGTCATTGCAAGACTGGTTTGGTGGTTCTGTCTTCGTCGTTTATATCCAAATTCTTTTGATTTTGCTCCTTCGCTCGTCATCGGTCAGTTTTTGGTCTTTTGATTTCTCTCACAAAGGAGCAGGTTTCCTTTTAATTGTGACCGTTTGTCCGGGTATGCGTGTCTGTGTGTCTGTTTTAGTTTATCTTCTTGGTTCTTTCGGTAAAGTCACGTAGAATGGAAACAATAAAAATAATAAAATAAAACATAATAAAATTATTCTCTTGACGTTTCGGCTACAACGCAAGCAGCCGTCTTCAGGTGAAGAATGAAACACTGCCAAGCTTGGAGCGTATATATAATCTGGGTTGGAGGTGGAAGAAGAGCGCCTTGACAAAATAATTTGCATATCAAGAGGAATTTTAGCATATTTATTGGAAATGCGTAGGAGGTGGGCGGGGGGGGTCAAAGTCATATTATGCCCATGCATTATGCAGGATTAGCAGCATCAAAGGGAGGTGGTAGGGGGTAGCATTAACAAAGGGAGGGGATGTTAATAGTATGTAGAAGCAACGAAACATGTCAATGGGAGAGTGGTGGAAGGAGACCCGCAGCAGAGCAAATAATCCATTCCCTGTGGAGAACACAAGATACACAGTCAATGCCAGTGAGTGGACTGCGATCTGAAAGTCACCGTAAATGTGAACAACAATCAGTTAAGATCCTAAATGGTTTATTACGTCCTTCACATCAAGGACCTTTTTTATCTGGCTGCCTGGATATCCTGAGCCAGTGATTGTCACCTCGGCCATACTTCCCCCTTCCTCTGGAGGTCATCTTTAGTCTTTTGGATGCAGATGTTTTTAATTGCTCCTAAGTATGGTGTCTGTAGCCTTGTTTATTGTCGGCTCATCCTTAGAAATTAATTCCTGCTGTAGCATGTAATGACAGCCACTGGGAAGACAAAGGCGTTTGTGCAGGCTCTGCTTATACCCCTGGAACACATTATTTTGGTCGTAGAGAATTGAAAAAATTCGTATTGTATATCTTCTAAATTATCAAAACTTCTATCATTCGTTATCAAGTGTATATGTCTAACCCAGATCTCTTGGCACTATATAGAGATTGGTGGGTGTTAATAAACATGTAAAAAGTCGTAGTAAAAAACTGAGCTACATAATCATATAACAATACATTCTATCAAGTTAACATTGAATCCTATTTTTCAAATTATTCATGAGGTGGTGGTCAATCCAGTTTTACAACTTCCCAAGCCAAGTTTGTGAATAACTAACCTCCAGATTAGAGGCCGACCGAAATTCGGTTTCGGTGCCGAAAGTTTCGGTTTCGGCCGAAACCAGAAATTCAGTTTCGGTCGGCCTCTACTCCAGATGTCTTTTGTGTGGGCAGGGGGAGGGGTGCTCCTTGGTCTTTGTTGTCTTGACGGAGGAGTTAACAGGTCTAACCCCACTGGATTTTTTTTGGAACCCGCTAAATCCAGATATATAAAAAAAAACTATTGCATTCAAAATTGGCAACATCAGTCTTAATATAATTTTCTGGAAAAAGCATATATACATCAACTGTCAGTAGCTGTCGCTCAGCACAATGCACGGCTGAGGAGTCTCTGTTGGTCTAGATATACGGGGGTGGGGGGGGGGGGCCTGACTTGTCCCGGCTCACACCACACTCGGATCTCTCTGCGTGAGAGGATGACTCATCCCTACTCACACCACACACGGATCTCTCTGCGTGAGAGAGGATGACCGATCCCTGCTTTGCCCCCAGACGCTGCAGCCGGGAGCCGAGCTGGATCAAGAGGCACTGCAGGAAATTCTCCCCAAGGTGAGACAGGTCCTAATGCTCTCTAAGAACCAGCTTTGCACCACGCGCAACATGCACACCATGCGCACCACACGCAATTCACGGGAGCGTCGCTTCACGCGTGACGCAACGGAGTGCCACCTGGCTGTGCTCCCTGCATGCGATGCATTACACTTGTCGGTGATGCATTTCTTACAAAGCAGACGTGTCATTAAGCTTGTGTGTGGGTAGGGGGCACAGCTGATGCATATATCAGTCATCTGAGTCAACCCATGCCACCTGGGTCTGTCCCATGACCTCCTGTCAGCGAGCCTTCGACACCTCATGTGACCTTAAAGTGCACCTGGATCTTGAAAAATTACTAAAAATTAGAAAATTAAATGAAGATTAAAAAAATGCGTAAACATCGGAATGTATGCTAATTTATGTAAATATGCGCACAAATTATGATAACGAGGGAGGTGATCATATTAAGTTATGCAAGTGTATGCGATTATGCTAATATTTGCAGTTATGATAATTAAGCTTAGCTTCGTTGTCTAGGGTCGTATTATCAATCGGGATAATACAATGAGTTGTATGACGTTATCCAAGTGTGATGTAATTATGCTAAATTAAGCTCGGCTTCGTTGTCTAGGGTCGTATTATCAATCGGAATAATACAATTATCCTCGTTATAACATTTACTGATTATATCTTAGTGTGTTTATGTCAGGTCTCCAAATTCAAATCTCAACGCAGGATACAGTTCTTATAATTAAGTTTATTATGCATGAACTCAGGAAGGAACCACTCAGATTCTTCTGTGTTAAGCAATTTTAATTTCTAAACAAAAACATAACACTCTAATATGCGAATACACTTATGATTGGAATTATCAACACAGTACCACTGGGGAAGTTCCCCTCATTGATCCGTACATTTAACCATCAATGATTACGTTGTCAAACTGGGAAACCGAACAATTGATTAATTCCACAGAGTAACACGAGCATATACGGCGATAGGGACTAGTCCTTAAACATGCATGCGACGATATTCATACGAAAGGCAATAAAAAGATTATTATATCCCGAAGGCAAAAGTACACGTCAATAGATTAATTGGCAAGATTCTATAATTAACGAAATGTCTTGGAACAATGGTGTGCAGCAGTGTATGCCTGCTTAGGCAAGATGCTTATCTTTTGGCTAAGGCTTCAATTAATTCGTGGGCAAGATTATGTGATCAAAAGAAAGGTTTAACACAATATTCTCCCTGTGAGCGTGTAGATTCGTAACGAAGGTTTCAAACGTTTAGTTTATATTGATTAATCTATTGGTAATTTTTGATGCGATTAAAAAGAAAAATAACGACTAATGTATTTATAAACGACCGTATTCATATCACTCATTGAGCAGCGAGGTTCTTCATTATCACTAATAGTTGACGCACCCTTGTCATTAGTCTTCTTATCATCAGTCCGGGTATGTGTTTCAGGTGCGTGTGGGGATTTGTCTCCTTGATCCTTATTGTTAGTCCGGGTATGTTTATGTATGTGAGCATGGTTTTGGTTCCCTTGGTCAATTCTTTGCGTCGAGCAGACGCCGGCGATGCGTGGTGGCGTGTGAATGTGGGCGTGTCATACGAACGGCTTCGGAGCTCCCCCTCTCGCTCGGGGCCTGTCCGCTGTTAGCTGCCGGCTCTCTCCGCTGCTGGATGAGCTGTGTCGGCACGATGCTTGTCCTTGAAGATGCTCGGTCGCTCTTGTCCCTCGTCCGCTGGCAAGCTGACACCTGTGCTCGGTGGCGGTGGCGGCGCTGCTGCGCGCTCTCTCCGGCTCCGTGTTCTCTGGCGGTGAACGATGCGCTCGCAGTAAGTTCGCTGGTGGCAGACACCCTTGCTCGATGTAGCTGGTTCTCTGTGATGCTGGCTTGGTCGATGCTTGGCGCTTTCCGCCCTTTCTCAAGGTTGATTGCTGGACGTTGCTCGTCAGCTCAACTCAAACTGCAGCGGCTCGTGGGAGCTGACACTCAGTGTAGAACGACTTTCGAGCAATACTTCTTCTGTCAGCGGTGAACTCGCACTAGGTAGCACATCGCTCCTCAGCGAGCCTCGCCATCCTTGGTTGATTGCAAAGCCCTTCTGTTGCTGGTGGTGATCTTCGGTAGCTGCTGGAGTCTTCTTCTGCTGGAGTCTTCTTCTGCTGGAGTCTTCTGAAATTGCTGGAGTCTTCTGAATTGTATTCGCACACCTCTTAAACGACCGTGAAAGCTTAGTACAATACAACTTATCACAATCCTTTACTTTGCAAGCGACTCAATACATCAGGATAAATGTAGAATAAACTTTCAGCGATACTGTCGGCCCATGCCGAACTCCGCTCTTAACAACACATCGCTACTTATCTCTGCGAGGCGACACCCATGGTTGATGTCGAGGCCATGTCCCTCTCTGAGACTCCCCGCAGCCTGCTCCCTTGCAAGACTGAATTTCACGATCTGTGTCCGTGCTTAAATGAAAATTCGCCCACCTCGGCTCGCCTTCTCACAAAGGACCGGAATTTCCTTTGATGTCACTCTGCGGTGGGGGAAGTTGGGCGTGTGTCCTGTGAGTGTGTGTTCTGATTCATTAAGCCATCTGTTAAGTCTGTGGAAAACAGATGCCCATTCTGCTACCTCGGTTTATTATTGCAATAAACTCTATGTGAGTTTCATTTCCCCCGCTTCCCCCTCTGCCCTCGTGGTGGGTGTGACATTCTTTGCCTCACAAAAGCTTTTCAAGTTGTGTCCTGTTGTACCGTTTGGAAGTTAAAACAAAAACTCATTTTACATCTTATTTTGTAGTTATGATTCTGTAAGTGACTCAAGGTATGTTTTGTAGCCGTGTTCACAGTATTTCCATCGTTGTTTGATTTATGTTTAAGGGGAGATGCTCTTTTGCCTGTGTGTGCAAATCTTGCTATCACGTGCTGCTGGGAGAACAGAGGCGGCTGGGAGGATTTTCTATGGAATACATTTATCTTGGTTATGTATGATTGACTTATTTCCCCTTTTATTCTTCTTGGCGACCCTCGGTCCAATACTTCATAATTATTATTTGGTATATTTTTATTCAAGATTTGTTATTCAGCATTGTTATTACCGAGTGTTTCTTAGGGTTTTATTAACCTTTGTTGTCTATCTGTATTCAGGGGTTTGTGCTGTTTTACTCGAGTTATGTTTTGGTGTCCTGAGGTTAGAGGTCGAAGTAAGTTTTCACTTAAGCTTTCTCGACTGCCGGAATTCATATTCCTTTTCTTTGTAAAGTCACGTCAATAGCAAGATACAAGAAACAATATGGGAGGTGAATGAGAGTAAAATAAGGTAATTAATAACTCTAAGGCCACCAATGTGGCTGCAGTCTGGTTTAAATCTGGTTGAGTGTGTTGACAGTCTATGTTATACACTTATTCTGGTCGCTAATTTTCGGATTTTTTCGTTAACTGAGATAACCTGTCTGCGTGGTTTTCGCTGCCCTGGACAAGCTGGCGACATCTGATTGGCGGCGACATCTGATTGGCGGCGGTCTTTGAAGTTGTGATGAGATATCCCCAGAATATCATTAGAGAACTCCCCCCTCTTTCCTTTGTACCAAGGTTTTTTTTGTATTACCTTTATCTCCGGCTGCCTGGTTTCTGAAAGGCAGCTGTTGTGTGGGGTGTGGGTGGTGGTTACATTTTTGTTTGTGCTCCAAGCGACCCCGCGATTGATTATTTGAAAAAATATTGGCAGAATTATTCTTAATATTGATAATGCAAAAAGGCCTATATATACAACAGATGTCACCGTCATGTTGTGGTGAATGGCGGGTATTGGTATGTGGGCAGTGGGATCCGATAAATATTAATTTAATCAAATTCATTCATGGAGCTTAAACAATGAAAATAAATAAACATTAATGGAGTTACATTGTGCCGAGCAAAGGGCATCCATTATTGTACTCTAAATATATATTCTTCCATGTACATGCTCCCCAATTTCACTAAGCCACACTGACCAGTGCGGTGCAGTATGGCCAACTTACCCCCCAGCTTGCATAGTGTGTGGAGGTCCCCCTCTGTGAGTCGATTGACAACATGGCTTACACGTGTCCACGTATATACACATTACTAATTACAATATTAATTATTTGAAAAACAGATTAAGATTTGGAGGAGGTCTTGACGGAGTTATTATGAATGAATAATCCAGGAGTGCTGGCTTTAAGCACATTTCATCAGATGCAGTGATAAAAAGGCAATGACATTGACGATGATCATCACGAGAGTGACGTGAAGACGAGTATAGCAGGCAGCGTGCGTGCATTTCTACCCCTCCACTGTCTCCCTGTCTCTCGCTGTGAGCGCAGCTGAGAGAGAAGCTGAAGGTAGAGACTGAGAGACGAGGTGAGGAGCACTCTGTGTCACTTACACTCAGCGTGTGTCACTTACACTCAGCGTGTGTCACTTACACTCGGAGTGTCATTTACACTGGGTGTGTCATTTACACTCCGTGTGTGTTACACTCCGTGTATGTCACTTACTCTCCGGAATTATCACAACTATCACAGAGCACTCACCTACAACAAAGATCCCCAGAATAGCCTCAACAGACTATTGGGGCAAGTGCTGTTAGCGTGCAGCTATGAAGGCCGGCAAGGCACACGAGGGTGTGGGTGGCCAGCACCATACCCGGCCGCCTTTGTCTCCTGAGTGGCAATGTTTACACACTGTGCCATGTCCTAATTTGAAGCTGAGTCGACCTAGAGGAGACCCAGGGCTGGTTAACTGGTGTTGACCATGACCGGAAACCGAACTTGGGTCACTGAGTTCGTAGAGCGGCACACTCACTGCTACACTACTGCTACCCACTCAGTAGTGTGTGACACAAACAACAACCGCCATTTGCCACTAAGTAACGGTAACCTCACCACGACGCTTGTGCCAGGCTATTGTGCACTTTAAGGCCACGTGAAGTATTGAAGGCTCGCTGGCAGGAGGTTACGGGACAGACCCAGGTGCTATGGGTTAATTGACTGAGGTGACTGGCAGTGTCCTTATGACCTGTTCCGGTTTGGCAGTAGAAGTCTCACTCCAGTCGAGTGGTATTACCTTTACATTAGCTGTATAACACTATGGGGAAGCTACCTGGCCTGTTGTTCCATATAAAGCTTCAGGTCTTCTCGGCCATAGTTATAACCTCTCTTATCTACAATTGCGAAGCGTGGGATTTGTAAGGAAAATCTGTGCCAGTTTGAAGCATTAAGTCTTTACTCCCTCCGTTCCATCCTAGGTATAAACACCCTGGATTGTATGAGGAGTGCACAGATCCTTGAAAGTTCTGGACACATTCCCATCCGTGAGCTCTAGCAGTCCAGGCTGCGTTCACTAGGTTATATAGCAGGCATACCCAGTCACTGCATGCCCAAGTAGCTTCTGTTTTACTAGATAGTGGGAGCTAAAGCCTGGAAAGAATGTTACCGTGCAGTTGGAAGCATTTGGCCTCCCAACAACAATGGAGGGCAGACGGGCCATACTCAGAACAATAAGCATAGCTCCAGCTGGTTAAAACAAAATAATTTGGCACAGCGGAGATCAGTCATCTCAGTCAGTCAACCCATAATACCTGGGTCTGTCCTGTGACCTATCAGTGAGCCTTTCGACACGTTACGTGGCTGAAAAATGCATCGAGCCTGGCACAAGCACTGTAGTGATTATTATTGTTGAGTGTTGTAATAGTCTTACACTGCGAATGAGTGTCTCACAGTGAGTGATGCATGAGTGTAAGAGTGGCGCTGTCTTGGTTCACACAGATTACAGGCTCGAGTGGGGAGACATCGCCTTTCCCCGGAACCGCATCTTTAGGGAATGGCCCAAGTCAGAGAACGGCAAAGTCTACGTACCCTACAAGGTGTCCCTCGCCTTCTGTGAGTGTTCCGCCTCAAGTGTTAGACACGTGCTGGTTAAAGTAATAATGGGTTAATTCCTTTTTATTCAAGCATTAACAATTAAAAAATTTGATACTTGGTTTCCTAAGATCTGCAGCTTCTTTCAAGACATACACCACCATAATCATACACACTTAACTTCTTTTTCTATGTGCAGCTGGGTGCCTCTTTTGTCTAAAACGATGCTTTCGCTATTTTGCCTCCAGACATTTTTCTATTAAAACGTTTGCATGAAATAATTTCATTTTATTATCACTCTAATGATTTAAGAAGCCACAATAAAGGTTTTTTTGGGTTAGATTGCGTCAATATAAATGTGCTGTGAAACCTGCCACCACCCGATGCAGCCAATTAGTCACGTAAACAAAATATGCCAATTAGTTACTACTTCAGCATACCAGTGTGTTGGAGAGTAAACCCACCATGGGAGACGAAGGCCTACGTGTTAAACTGCCTTAAGTAGCCACCTACATCTAAGCCATTGCTGCTGCTACAGAAACTGCAACATTCCTCTTTGGGAAAAAAGTGTTTTGGTTGTTCTTCAAATTAGCGTGAGAAAACGTTCTCAGAATTACCATTCAAATTAATCTGTAGAAAAAGTCCTTGAAAGACCTCGCACGCCCCGGTCATGAAATGCTAATTTTCCTGCTCTTTGTGCTTCATCCCTGTTCCTTGATTTTCGTGCGCCTAGTTCTTTCTGTGCCTTGTTCACACTCTTCATTAAAGACCGATACCTTTAGCTGCTTTTAAAATAAACTTTGAGCAATGATGTACCTCCCACCGCCGAGAGACTGGAAGGGGGACCAGATTGAAGGTAGAGTTCGCATGAACAGAGTGGCACTCGTTTAGAAAAAAGTGCAGCACCCAATGTGTAACGGGGTTTAAATTATGTAGAGCTGTGCTATGTGTGAATTTATAATCAATTGACCATAAACGCTTTTGGGCAAAGAGATTGCTGTGATAGGCTGTAGGCGAGTGGATAATAAGGAACATTTGTCTCTGAAGAAAAAAGTTACTCAATTACTTTGTAGGATTGGTGTGTGTACTTACATTCACCCAAAGATCAAACCATATCCCCAGAGCTTTGATTAATTGATATTTCCTTTGGAAAAGCGTTAGCAAAAATTATTTTCAATTCACAAATCATTGACCCTAGTGGAAGAGATGGAATTCTAACTCATGATTGGGATATATTCTTGCAGTTAGTGAATTAGTTATATGTATCTCACTATCACAAAAAATGCGCATCACATAGGATACAGAATCTCAGATAAAGAGGAAGTTCCAGATGTCATACTTGAAGAGGTCAACTCTGTCGATTGTAGTGTGAACAAGGGGATAGTTCCTGGACCAGATGGTATAATCATGAACATTATCAAAGAAGAGGGGCATTGCAATGACTAGAGGATATACATTTAGAACCATCATAGTGCATCAGTTATTATTGGCATGCATTCTGACATCACGCAAACTTTGACATCACAGGTCCAGTAATTATATTTTTTACGTCTGATAATTACCAATGACTTATATTAGAAGTAACATACCCTTTACACTATGGGAACCTCATTTGCCAGTAAAAATATGATAATTGGTTTTTTACCCTTCTATCTTGCCAGATAGAAGGGTAAAAAAAACAATTAACATACCCTTTATTCGGCATTTAATGTGATGTAATCACATTCCTTGATTTTCCTTTGATTACTTTATTTAAATTAACATACATACGACAAAGACGCTATCTGAGGCATCCCATCTGCTCTCAGGGACGAATAGTGAACGACCTCAGACCCTAGCGCTGTGGTAGCAAATAGAGAACATTTGTTGTAACTCTGTAATAAACATGACTCTCGATATATAGGACGTACAGCTTTACCTTCTTATATACATGTTATAATCATACAAGTAGGCCTCTAACTAAGCCTAGAGAGGCTCGAATCGGGAATCATGACGATTCCTCAAGTCGCCAGGTGGGGGACCGTGATATGAAGATTTTACACGTGCAGAGAGTCCACTTCGTGTTTTTTCATGAATCTGTGCCGCTCACTCAACACAAGTTGTTTAGAAATTAGAAAGGCCAGATACCAACGCTGTCAAATACATGCATTGGGGACTCAGTGAATGAGTCATAAGTCAATAAGTCACACATGATTGGTGCTTTCCAAAGACAATAGAAACCATGACAAGACTAAAACAATGAGGAAATCACTGCACCTCACCATCAGTGGCCCCCGGTTCCCTCCCCAGGGAGGAGGCTCCTGCTGCTGCGGTGCCGCTTGTGTTGCCATCGCTATAACAAGTGCACAGTGGCCAGCGTGATCCGTTATCTAGCTCCTCTCACACATGGCGACTTATGTGACTCTTGAGTCTCCCTGTGTCTCATCGCACAGTTGATGGCGATATCAAGAAGATCGAGGAGGCGGCGCTGGAATTTAAGAAGAAAACGTGCGTCCGGTTCATCCCTCGCTCCAACGAGACCGACTACATCTATATCCACGCGTGGGAGGGGTGAGACACAGAGACCACGGAGACTACGTAGAAAGGGACACTACAGAAACACGGACACTATAGAGACATGGCTATTACAGACACACAAACACTACAGAGACATGGACACTGCGAAGACATGGACACTGTGGAAACAAGAACACAATGTGACAGATACTTCAAAGACACTGACTCTACAGTCTACATAGATGCAGACGGTAGAGAGACTCAGACGCTGCAGAGACATGGACATTTTTCTGTCCCTTTTTGATATTTACACCCAATAATCACTAATGGCAGTAAGTGCAATGTGGAATTGATAGCCTAGTTAGGAGGTCTGGTCATATGACGCTTGATAATTTACAATATCTAACACAAACAGGTTTGGAATTGCTATCCAGATTGAGGGTCCCCTGATCACATGACTATACAGAGGCTGGTTCAGCTGTTTTAAAATGCAGAAGAGAAGTTGCAATCCTGTACCCACAATACTTGTGATTAATTCTGTAGACTCCATGAGTGTGTTAGTTCATGGCATATAACAGGTTTCAAAGACAGAGTTACACAGCATTCCACATGTGCTCTGATAATAAGGCCTACTCAGGCACAAGCATTAGCAGCTCAATTTGTTAAAGACTGAGAGATATTGTGAGTCACTCTTGAAATAGCTGCCCTGCATAAATCTTAATGGTATATCCAACGCTCCCTAGAGCAAGGATAATGAAGTATGCTTTGTTATAACCCTTTGTTTTAATTCTTGGACAGTGATATTTCAGTTCAGTCTGTACTGTACTGTATACTCGCCACAGTGGTGAAGTATGGCAAGTGTCTGCTTAGGCATTTAAAACTGCTTGATGTAATGGAGCTGTTTGCCACTGTGCATTTGATGAGGGAATTAAATGTTCAGTTAGCTCATGACTTCTGTTTTTTTATGTGTACAGTTTTACCCAGTAATGGATCCATCACCACTCAACTTTGGTGAAGGCCATGCTCATTAACCATATCAAGTTCAGAAGATCAGTCTGAGTTTAGACTGTGTTTATGAACCAGGGTTGATAGTCTGAATAGATGTATTCCATTTATGTGCATTGAGGTCAGAACACACGAAAGTAACACAGACACTACATGGACATGGACATAACAAAGCCATGGACACTACAGAGTCATAGACACATCCATGGTAAATTATTTTCTTGGCCAGTACCCTCTGCTTGTTGGACCAAGGAGTAAATGTCTACAGACCTGCCCAATTCAGGGGATTGTGAGGTAATAGAGCCCAGTGAAGTGGCCTGATGTGTAGTCTCGACCAGAGCAGCATCTCCGTAGTGGAGGTCATGTGCTCCAGAAGGACTAGGATATACCTTGTCTTGGTTACCAGTCGGGTTTGCAGCTCTTGAACCTGCTGGCTTATGAGAAGTGCCTTGTAGTGTCGAAGCTGCATCTGACCTTAGTCCATCCAGATGTTGGTTCCAAGATGATAGATAACTGAGTCATTTGGAGGAAGCAATTGGCTTGGTTCACCACCCAACCATGGTCCTTGAGCAATTTAAGGACTACATCATTCTCCAGCTAGAGTTTGAGACGTGTTGCTGCTCTGATCAGGTCACCAGAAGTTCATGAGTCGCTTGGTGAACAGCCTTGGAGCAGAGGCCAGGCCGAATAGCGATGGCCAGTACGTGTAGTGTTGCGCTAGAGCACAGAGCCACAGCTACTGGAAGTACCGCAGGTGCATGGAAACATGCAGGTAGGCATGCATTGCAAGTAAGGCATTTAGCATTCTTACATCTAGGATTACCATTGAAGTGCACATAACTTTTCTGACCATGAAACATCTGGAGTAAAACCCCAGTCCTTATTGATTGGCAGCAACATATTGAATGGCTTGAATGTTGAGAAGTAGTGACATTTCTTTGGTGAGCGTCTGAGAGAGCTCTGGATGTTCCGGCGGAGATGAATGCTTGAACTCATTGAAACGTGGGGCTCCTGGAAGTCCAGCTTATAGCCTTGTTCCCCAATGACTCAGACCCATGTGTCCGGTGTCGTACATGCCCACATAGGTATACAGTCACCTATGCATGCAGGAGACTAGGGGGACCAGCCGCTTTACTTGGCACTAACAGTGCTGCTAATGCTTGTATGCCATGGTGGTTGTCAGTTTGGCACTGTGGGTATTTGAGCTTCTCCCTTGTTCTGCCTCCGGCAAAGCTGGACGTGTAGGCTGGTTTCCTGCTGCTGTACCGGGACTGGTGTCTGGAGGCCTGCAGGGGACAAAATGACTTATGTGCCTCTGCCTTCTTGCCATCGTAAATCGTTACATCAGGTCCTTGTGAGAGTGGCTCTCCCCTTCGAATAGTACAGTACACAAGACCACCCTTGAATTGGTGGGCAGCTTTTGTCCCCTTATGTCAGATCACCCTTCTGCCCGTTACAGCAGAAGCCACCATCAGGGATGTGTTTTTGAACAAGTATCTTCTCGCGTCGAGCTAGGCCTGGTGAAACTCCTGGTCCTCCTCTATGGGCCTGAGAGAATTTCCATCGACTCGGGAATGAACTTGGCTATGAACGCCATGTACGTAGAGATGTATATGGCGGAAGCTGCAGTACAATGACCTTTATCCATGCCCCGTTCGTAGCAACAGGGTGACCTTGGTGCACCTTCACTACCATAGCCGCAACCACATGTGGTATGAAGCGAATGTATAAGGGTCCACCTTGCCCAGTGCATAATGGGCATTGAGGTTATGCCTGGTCCATGTTGCCTCGGCTGGTTTTGCCCATTCCCCGCAGATCTACTTCATCAGAGACTCTGGAAGCGGAAGAGTTGTATTTCTTGCTGGCAGACCCCTGGTAAGAATTGGCTTCGACTTGATTGGCTCGAGTTGTTTTGGTTTCAGAAGCTTGAGCTTGATCTTCCTCGTCAGTGAGCACAGGCAGTCATGTGGGAACGTCCATTTCTCAGTTCTCTCTTTGACGAATCTCGGTCCAAGGATTACTCTTACCAATGAGGAGTTATGTCGCATATTCGGTCTTTTCCAACTTGGCTCTCCTCTGAACAACTTCTTTGTCACAGCCTCCTGCATGAAGGTGTGCATCTGATGCTTGTTCAGCTGCATCTCAGGTTCCTGGAGGTTGATGCTTCCGCAAGCAAGAAATGGGATAAGTGGCACTGATCTCTATCCTGTGACATCCTGTGACAACAAGATGTTCTTGTCTGCCCTAGCAGATTGCGGGGTCTGTGGCAAACACATCAGCTGTCTGGTCTGGACCATAAGGGCCTCCATAAGGGCCTCCAGAGCTGCTCTGTCACTCTGATGAGGACGTTCTTGCCCGCATGGAATGTGCGGTCAAGTTCCCGACGAGGCTTCTGTTAGATCCATCCCCCTTGTCCACCTCTTCTCCTAGAAGAGAAGTCTCCCCCGCGATGAGATCCTCTTCCCTGGACGGCTGGTCAGAAGAACTGACAAGCGCCTCCATTACTAACCGTCTTCCATTGTTTTCATCTGGTGTGGCGGCTTGGATCTCCTAGATTCGCACAATGTGTATAAGTCTGCCCGCTGTACACCCCGAAGTTGTCCGAGCCTTTATCGACAGATTTGCTGGCTCTACGGCTGGCCTGAATAATAAAGTCGCCACGGGGAGTGGCTGACGTGTAGTGGCTCTGACAGTCCTGGTGGCACTCCAGAGAAAAATGGTGACCGCAAGTTGCCGCGCAATCTAAGCACGAGCCATGCTCTGGGCTGCAAGGCTTACATGACATGACCCTTTTTGTGGGAACGGTGACATACCAGGGGGTGCACACTTCAGAAGACTTGCCTCTCACAACCTGCTAACAGAGGGGGCCTCTTTGATGGTGAAACATTGGAGGAAAGTTGTGAGGCAATTTGTGTAGCTTAGCCCACTTGGCAGTTTTTACAGCCAATGACTTCTCTCTCGTTTATTGAAACAAGAGAGATTATCGCAGTCAGCAAGTTATTCTTATCATAATTGACTTCAAGACACGTAAAACAAAAAAGTGGATGTTGGCACTCATTTACAATGCACACCTACAGTACATAAGCGAACTTTTAGGCGACAAGTGTGTAATGGCATTAAAATAACAACAGTTAATCAAGCTATGTCACGAGTATTAGAGTTTTTTTTTTATTTGGACGTGCATCAAAAACCAGACAGTCCAAAGAGCGAAAAAAGAGGCAAGAAAGGATAGACATACAGTTTCCTAATTGTTTGAGAATCTGCATTAATATATCGTAAATATGCAACTATTAACTAGGATGGTTCTATCCTGAGCTGCAACTTGTCCCCAGGTGCAGAAAGAAGTGAAACTTATAGGGGGTGGAGAAGTGTGACGATGGCCGGGACGGGAACTTTGTGCCCACCCACGAAAGCCTTATCTGCAGCACATCCCGTAGCTGGAGGGGAATTGCTACATTTTAAGAATAACATTGGAGCATTTACCGGTATAGGATGAAGAGAAATGCCAATTTTTTCCATGTATACATCATAGCCCGTACTGGGGCTGTTCTGAGCCAGCGTGGCGTGGGTCAGGAAGCATAGGTTACTATCCTACTCCACAAGGCAAGCTATGCAACTGATATACCAATGTGTGACCTAAAGACATATAGATGACGTGGTGGAGCTGTGTTTACGTTGAACTGATGGACCTCAGGTGAATTGCACACTTAAACACGTTCCTTCGGAGTGGGCAGGTAGGAACTTGGTTGGACAGCGCATTCGTGCACGACAGACAGACAAATAATCCCTGGTGGGCAGTGTGGAACCTGTTGTTCCTACCTGTATGTATAAAAGATAACTTGACTTTAGGTAGCCAGGCAGCCAGCCCCTTTAACTATCGCCACCCCCCTCCCTTAGACCCCTCCCCTGAGCACACCCCCCCCATATCCTTAGGCCCCTCCCCTGACCCCCCCCCTTAGGACCCTCCCCTGACCACCCCTCCCTCAGGCCCCTCCGCTGACCCCCCCCCCCTCAGGCCCCTCTCCTGACTCCCTTCTTCCTTAGGCCCCTCCCCTGACCCTCCTCCCTTAGGCACCTCCCCTCTCCGGACCCGGCAGTAGGTCTCCACCAATCAAAGAGCTGTTTATGTTATATATTTATTTATGCACGACAGACAGACAGTCAGACAGACAATAAATCCCTGGTGGGCAGTGTGGAACATTGTTCCTACCTGTATTATCCCAGCTATTTGCAGGGCTTGGCCCAGAGCCAGATTCGAATATCTTGAGCCAAGCGTAGTATGGCTAGGTTCTGGCTCCGTAAGACACCAGTAGAAAACCACTTTTCCTGTGCTGGCCCCGTGCTGGCATGGCATGGATGTGCAAGTGGAAAAGGGGTATAAGGGAGACAACTGAGTTCAATAGTGATAGACACATTAGCCTTGCACTGCATATACAGGCAGACCTCGCTTAGCGCTCAAGATGCGTTCCTGGAGAATTGAGCTTGAATCTAATCGGCGTCAAAAGGGGTCATTATACCATTGTAGATATGGAGGTGCATTCCCGACAGCGTTTTCTTCTAAATGGGGTATAGATAATAGCACTCGTAATAATACAGATGTAAATATTAATTTCATGAATAAAAATAATATATACTTTAATTTTTTATTTATTATGGACTGTAATCACCAGTGCTTCCTACTGTATACCTACATGGCACAGCGGTGGGAGACGGGGTTGGAGGAGCTACTGCCGGGAAGATGGGCCAGGCTTAGACCCGTATCTACCTGACACTCACCAGCCTTAACTCACCTTAGCATTTGCATTTTAAAATCCAAAATAATATTTTTCCTTGACACTTTGGTAAAATTGACATAATTAACACTCGCAGGCCTTTTTCCAGACATTAAGGGTCGAATTTGCAACAAAAACGAAAATAAGGCAAGAGTGAGACCATGGCAGAGCAAACAAAAGTCAGTGAGCGGGGTGTGTTTAAAAAAAAAACTGGTGAGCACTTGGCTCAGACCGTACGTCGCTCTGATTGGCTGAGCGAATGTAAACAAAGATGGCGGCGGGTGCGCTTCCTTGTGAATTGCTGTGTTCTCTCGTAAGCACATTTTAGATTCTTGGATTTTGGTAAAAGTTTTATCCAGGACAAAGAGCATTATAACGAATCAGTGTTATACTGGGTAGTGCTAAGTGAGTTCTGCCTGCATATAATTTGTTCATGAAGATCTCAATTCAGAAAGCAACCATGTTCAAAAGCTGGATTTAGAAATGGTGGTTTGTATGTACCTTATACATGCCATGCAGAGAATAACTACATATCAGAAGGGAAGTTATGCAAGGAGATACACTGTTGCCAAAGTTTCTTATAGCAACAGTTGAATAATTTTTCTGAAAATTGGAAAGGAAAAATAAATATTAATCACCTCGGTTTTGTCAATAACAATATCCGCCATTCGCCACTCAGTGACGGTGACGTCACTGTGGCACCTGTGCCAGGCCAGGTGCACTTTGAGGCCACATGAAGTGTCAAAGGCTCGCTGACAGGAGGTCATGGGTTGACTGACTGAGATGACTGGTAGATGCACCAGCTGTGCCCCCTCCTGTGCCAACTTGCTGCATTTTAGCTCCCGGCGCTCCGCTCGTTGTTTTGAGTGTTGCTTCTCTGACCTCCGTTGTTGGAGGGCAACTGCCTCCAACTGGCCAGTAGGGTCCTTCACAAGCCTCCTCCATAGTTATGAGTTATTATATAGTTAGATCATTATAACAAGCAATCAGAATGAGTAACAGGAAATAGTTGAAGAGCTTAATAAATTAAGGGAAAACACGTTTAATTTGCATTGTCTGGCACCCCCTCCCTTGGTCATCCCTTTAATGTTTCATGTTGCCTAACTATCATTCCTGTATCTACAGGTCCCTTTTATTTCTTTATGACTCTGCTTCAATCCAAGGAGTTTATGCCTCGGTATAGAAACTCAAATGGCTGAACACGCGCTGACCCCTAGGGCCCTCAACATGACCTACCTTTCTCACTCATCCCTCCCGTTCCGGTGATCATTTCATCTGCTCGATTTAAATGTTCTCAATACCCGCTCCACTCAGACCGGTCCTTCACCATTTGTATAACTTGCATCTTGAACTGCTTAGCCCCAGAAACAGCCAAGGATTACCTCAGTTTCCCTCCCCGTGCCGTCGCCCTTCAGTCATTCATTCGTTTAAACATTTGTTGTCAGTGGTAGTGTCGTTTATGGTGAAGGGTTGTATTATAATATGTGTGGGTGTGTGATGATAATTATATGTATATGATAGAAGTGAGATCCTGGACTCCTGCAAGGTAATATCTCTTGTCCAATGACCATGTTGTTATAACGAAATCAACTTTATTCTAAAAATTCGTGGAAAAGATGGCACAAATAGAGTCTATCATCATGTCACTGCAAAAGCTGGTTATCTCTAAGCGGGATGATTGACATTCATTTTCTAAACTGTGGGCAAGTGGGAATGGAGTCTATTGCGGTTGTCTCTGCAGGAACTGGTCGTTCCTCGGCTGTAAGGGTAGGGACCAGGCGCTGTCCTTGGACCCCGGCAAGGTGACCAAGGGCGTTGTTCTGCACGAGTTCATGCATGCGCTCGGCTTCTACCATGAGCACAGCCGCAGCGATCGCGACAAATACATATTGGTGCTGAGTGACAACATCAAGCCAGGTACGTGGCTGCCTCTGAGTTTCTGCCAAAGAAGGTTTCACTTCGCATTGAACAAGTGGTGGCAATATTTAATTGGCTAGGAGGACACTGCCTTTTCTGTCACAGCTGATAAAGGTAGCTGCCCAATTGATATGTTAGACAGCCCTCATGGATGTGTAATGTACGACTCCGGAGACAAAAAACTGTAGAGGCACCTTCTTATTTATTACTCGCAACTTGTACTAGTACACTCGCTAGTGCATAACCCAACAATGACCACCTAGCAACGACGGCGCTGACTAGATAGCTGGCTAACGATCTAACAGCGGCAACGTCGAGTGATGACAAAGAAGGCAGTGATGACGGCAACGACGAAGATGGCAGCAACGATGAGACGACCCTAACTCCCACGGACAGGCCCGAGCTCCCTCTCTCGCCCCCTTTTATGCTTCCAGCACGGCCTGGCCACGCCCCCCTTCTCGAACCATCTCGCTGGTTCTGGGAGCTTAAAGATGGATCCCTTTCATGACCCTTGGCCCAGTTCTCTTATCCCTTCCATGAACCTTGCCCCAGTTCTTCCCCTTGGGTGAGTACATCCGCAATTGCTACTCCTGATCACCAGTCGGCGCTGCTACACTACAGATGTATCTGTTCATTTCACTCCTAAATATTGCTGTGGACAAGGTACAATTGTTGAAGCTATCATTATGCCACTTTTTAACTTATGTAACACTGCTTATATATCAGCTACTAATGAAACACTAAACAGACAAATCCCCCTTTATTATAAAGAACCCACTATTGTGACCTCTACTTAAAATCTCACATCACTTGATACAAGCATAATTCTACATTGGGCCCTGTTCATCCATACAATCCTTATTGGAAAATCTGCACTATACTGAGCTAAATCAATAATCCCACTGTCAAACCCAAGAAACCTACGACGTCCATCCAATTGTCTTTATACTATTGTAGAGGAGTAAAATACGCCGTGCAAACTGTTAACAGAGGGCAACCAAGGGCGAGCAGGTGCGCATGTGCAACATGAGATTGCACGGGCAAACCGTCACCTAATTAAGGGGAGAAGCAGGTGAAAACAGGGGTCGACCGGTTGTGCACGTTGAGACCGGAGGAGTTGCCCGGGAGACGGGAGATAAGGGGTGATTAATGGGCTGACAGACGCCAACCTGGCGAGAGCCTAAAGAGACACACGAGAGGTCTCAGATAATTGGCAGGAGGATATAAGCGGGAGGCTGTGTGAGCGAAGGGGAGTTGTTGCTGGGGACAAGAGTGAAGACATCTTGCCGCTGCCGCTCAAGCCGTCAACGGACCTCAACCCTCACAAGTCGCCGGGCGGGTGATGGTTGATCCCCCCACCCGGGACAGATGAGTGAGTAGGTCTGAGGGAGCGTAGGTGAGGGCAGCGGTGGAGTGTGTGAAGCCTCTGTGTGTGGAGACGCTTTGTACGGAGATGCTTTGTGTGGAGACGCTGTGTGCGGAGACGCTGTGTGCGGAGACGCTGTGTGCGGAGGCGCTGTGTGCGGAGTCGCTGAGAGCAGAGCGCAGGATAGCGAGGTGAAGGGTAGATAAGAGTGAGGAGAAGAAACATAAATGACCGTATAGATAGTTATAGGAGTGCCTACAACTGGTGCATAAAAAGGTTAATAAAGTGTAAGCAGGTGACTTGTTACAACGTGTCAGTCTGAGTGATTTACAAAAGAAGACACTACACTATCACAAGAACAAGAATTAGAATAGGTGACAAAACCTTTGCCGTAGTACCAACGTTTTGGAACAACCTTGTTTCCTCCCTAAATATCCTAAATCTTCCTTCAAAAAATATCCTGAAGCAAAAGATTTGTGCTGGATACAACCACATTGCCCAATGTAATTTGTAACTTTAATACTTACCCGTGCATCGAAAGTTAAATTCTGTAGTTTTCTTACCTTTCCCAAGCTCGCATTTATTGTTGAAAATCGAAAGGAACTTATATACTTTTGCAATTTGTACTTATATATTTTTATCTATTTTACATATTTATTTTTAGTGATTTTCTTACCTTTTTTATTCTTTCCACTCCAATCGTTTTTGTATTGTTTATTGTAACTTTCTGACCCACCCCTACTGGACATCTATGAAAAAGAGCTTCATAGCTAATCAGATTTCTCCACGATGAATAAAGATTCTGATTCTAATTATAGCTGTAAAACAATTCTAGCAATAAGGGTGGAGGCGATTGAGCAGAGTTAGGCAGCAGAGAGAATAAGGACAACAGGGCTTCTCGTCTGTGTCCAAACTGGTCACTCCAGCCTACAAACCTTTAGCAACTGAGCTTCACACGCAGTCCCTGAGCCTTCACTGCACAGAACCTTTCAATAGATGCTGCTTAATCATGAACACCAGTTATGTGAGAGAGAGGGTACTTATTGTTGTTGTTTTTTAAGCAAAATGTGTTGTTTAATTGAAGCATGCTCTACTTTAATGTCAATATCTGTTTTCAGAATGGAAGGATGCAATGGTGAAAACAATACTCCATGATACCAACCGTGAGACCAATACGACAACTCCGTATGACTACAGCTCCATCACCCACTACGGCATGTACGTGGTGCTTCCAGGTTTTACCTTCACAGGAATTGTGCATGAGAAATGTGTAATATTCTGTATTTTAGTGTAAATCATTTTAAATTCTCATCTGATTTTCTTATTCAATCACACAGTTCTGTTGTAACAAAGGTTAATGTGTGTAATTGGTTGAATCACAATGGAAAACAAATATTTATTTTACAGGACTTGTAACCAGGGAGTTGAACCGATATATTTTTGGGTATGGTTCTGGTTAACCCAAAACTGATTGAACTGATTGAACTGATTGCAGTTCAGTTTAACACGTAGGCTTTCGCGACCAATGTCATCCATAAGAGGTTTTGTGGCTTGACTAGTGACGAATTGACATGCTCTGTTTATGTGACAACTCTTATTAGTTGGCTGTGTTGGGTGGTGGCGGGTTTTAAAGACACATTTATATATTTACGCGATCTAACCCAAAAAAAGCCTCTTATGGATTATTGCGGTTCATTTATTTCAAAATGGGCTCGAATGGTTCGGTTCCACTTATCTGTTTTCTACAACTGGGGGGAAACTTTTATGATAGTACAAATAAACTAAATGGCAAAAGAAAGACCTCTTGGGTAGCATACATTGTAGGATACACAAGGTATTTTTTTTTAGCTAATATGCAATATATGTGTAGGACTCATACTGACGCGACAGCTTCTTTGTCTTCTTGTTTCTTTCGGTAAAGTCACGTAGAAGGGAAGTAATAAAATAATAAAAATAAAACATAATAAAAAATTCTCACGACGTTTCGGCTACAACGCAAGCAGCCGTCTTCAGGTGAAGAATGAGACACTACCAAACTAGGAGCTTATATATAAGCTGCATTGGGGGTTGAAGAGCGCCTTAACAAAAAGAATGTGCATGTGAAGAGGGATTTAGCATATTCATGGAAAATGCGTAGGCGTTGGGCGGGGGGGTGTCAAAGTCATATTATGCCCATGCATTATGCAGGATCAGCAGCAACCAAGGGGGGTGCAGGGATTAGCAGTAACACAGGAAAGGAATGTTAATGATATGTAGCTGCAGTTACTCAACAACCACGTAGAAAACTAAAGTATAAACTACATAAAAAACTAAAGTATAAACTGCATCGCACCATCAGTATACTTACTATACTCTATAATAAGCTGAGTTACTAACAGCAAGTAATACATTACAATTTTACCTCGTAAAAATTCTATAATATGCTTCCATCTAAACCTTATTCTCTTACATCACACGAGCATATACCGTACTATATACTGCCATAGATAAACCCAACATTAAATTATATACTGTATTGCTGTAAACCAACCTATATCTTATACATTTAATATCACACTATGTATTATTCTACACACCCTAATGTGTATCGAAATGGTTTATTACGTCCTTCCAATGATTGCTGAGCCAGAATCCATCTTCTCGGTTAAAATTGTCTCTGTGTTTGTATATGTGGATCGCCTCATGAACGAATCTCTCATGATAGCCAGATGGCTTGCAGAGAACCTCTGTCTTGGAGAAGTCAATATCATGTGAGCCCACTGAGTTGTAACAGTGATCTGCCACGGCTGAGGTGTTAGTCCTACCGTGTTTCAGGTCAGCTTTATGTTCACGGATGCGGTCCGAGACATGTCGTTTGGTTTCACCAATGTAACTGCTACCACAGAGGTAGCAGTTACATTGGTGAAACCAAACGACATGTCTCGGACCGCATCCGTGAACATAAAGCTGACCTGAAACACGGTAGGACTAACACCTCAGCCGTGGCAGATCACTGTTACAACTCAGTGGGCTCACATGATATTGACTTCTCCAAGACAGAGGTTCTCTGCAAGCCATCTGGCTATCATGAGAGATTCGTTCATGAGGCGATCCACATATACAAACACAGAGACAATTTTAACCGAGAAGATGGATTCTGGCTCAGCAATCATTGGAAGGACGTAATAAACCATTTCGATACACATTAGGGTGTGTAGAATAATACATAGTGTGATATTAAATGTATAAGATATAGGTTGGTTTACAGCAATACAGTATATAATTTAATGTTGGGTTTATCTATGGCAGTATATAGTACGGTATATGCTCGTGTGATGTAAGAGAATAAGGTTTAGATGGAAGCATATTATAGAATTTTTACGAGGTAAAATTGTAATGTATTACTTGCTGTTAGTAACTCAGCTTATTATAGAGTATAGTAAGTATACTGATGGTGCGATGCAGTTTATACTTTAGTTTTTTATGTAGTTTATACTTTAGTTTTCTACGTGGTTGTTGAGTAACTGCAGCTACATATCATTAACATTCCTTTCCTGTGTTACTGCTAATCCCTGCACCCCCCTTGGTTGCTGCTGATCCTGCATAATGCATGGGCATAATATGACTTTGACACCCCCCCGCCCAACGCCTACGCATTTTCCATGAATATGCTAAATCCCTCTTCACATGCACATTCTTTTTGTTAAGGCGCTCTTCAACCCCCAATGCAGCTTATATATAAGCTCCTAGTTTGGTAGTGTCTCATTCTTCACCTGAAGACGGCTGCTTGCGTTGTAGCCGAAACGTCGTGAGAATTTTTTATTATGTTTTATTTTTATTATTTTATTACTTCCCTTCTACGTGACTTTACCGAAAGAAACAAGAAGATGAATCCCTGCAGTCACGAAAGCTTTAAATCGAAATTTAGCTTCTTTGTCTTTCTCGGTTCTTTATTAGCGCGTATAGTTCACATCTCCTCCGTCGGCATCACTCAATGTCCCTCCATACTCTTCAACGCACAATTCCCCATCACGTCCCTCAATGTCCCTCCGTTCGCTCGCTCCGCTGGCTTCGCTGGCTTCGCTTGCTCTCGCTCTGCTCCTCTCCTCCAGCGACCCTCCTCTCTGCGCTCTCTCTCCAGCTCGGTCGCTCTTTGTTCTCTCTGTCGTCTCACTCCGTCGTAGCTTCTCCACCAAGATCCGCTACTCTGCTGCTATCCTATACTGTACTCGCTCCGTCCACTGCTACTCTATCTGTATTCTCTTTATCCGCTGCTACCATACTCTGTCTTCTCTTTGTTCACTGCTACCGTATACTATACTCTCTTTGTCCACTGCTACCTTATACTATACTCTCTTGTCCACTGCTAAAGTATACTATACTCTCGTCTGCTGCTCCGTCTCTTCCTCTGTCCATCTCTCGTCCCAGGCACCAACCAACTCCCGTTTCTCCCCCCTCGCTCTTTGCCTTTATCCCCAAACCAATTCCCCTTAATTAATTGGACCATCCCCCGCATCGCTACTCGCCCCCAGCCCCCAGCCTCACGTGGTGTTGTTGTTGTAGACACCCCGGCGCCAATTCCCGACACCCATAACTCTCGTCCAATCACCGGCCTGCGTCCTCGATTACCCCCGAACACCTGCAGGCCCCCCTTAATTACCCTGCCACCTTAATTGGTACAACAACAGTATGTCGCCCCGCTCCCTGTGTCCCCGTTTGCCCTCACTGTCCGCCGCGTGTCCGTATCACAATCCAACGCGTGACGCGTATTTCTCAAGTCCTACATATGTAAAGTTATGAAAACCAAACGCACTAACAGAGAAAAACGAAGGACGTGGATGAACGACGCATCCGAGGGCATACGTTGACTAATTGTGTGCTAAACATGTAATGTGCGATAAGACTCTATGCTAAGCATACGTAGGAAATTTGAGATGTTCTTCCCAGCGCTAGGAAATGTAATATGCTATGCCAGAACATTGTAATAAATACAGTACCATTGATGTGCGTTTGTGCACTAGCAATTCTGAAGCTAATTACTTACCCGTTGCATGGAATTCGGTGAGCCTGTGCCCTTGTAGGCCTCGATCTCCCTTGTGCTGTCTTTGTGTGCACTCTCTACATTCTCCCACAACTCGTGAATCTCAGCCGTCCTCTGCTTCATGGTGATGGTCACTCAAATAAAAATGTACAGTAGATTTGTTTTTAGTTACATTAAATTGTGCATATAAAAATGTTCATTATTTCATTTTGTTAAGTTATTCGGTGTAAATGTAATGTTAAGTATTCCTTATTTGTAAATGGAATTTCAATTTATTATGAAATATTAAATTTGCCGGACATACTGCATTAGCATAAAAGCTCTCCCCAGATACATCAGGCTATGAGAGATTTTTCTGTAAATTAAATGCATTTTTGACTCAACATTTAATTTAACGCATTAAATTTGTTAAATATTTTACGAACAAGTTGAATCAATGTAATTGATTTAGTAAATGTATGTCCAAAAAGAGAGGGTATTCACCAGCTGACTACGTTGCAGGCCCAGGAGTCAGCAACCAAAAGAACAAGATAATTTTTTGTTCGAATTCGGTAAAAAAAAAAACTCAATATTTCAAGAGCTGAAATGCACGTGAATAACGTCACGGAGCAGTGCTTTAAGAGCCGCATGCGGAGTTGCAGGTTGCCGAGCCCTGGGCTAGACTGATGCATTGCATGCAGAGGACTGCAGAACATTGTCGGCCACTGTGCGTTTATTAACGCAAAACTGCATTTATTTATTTAGGGTAGCCTTTCTGGTTTACCCAAAATTACAGCGTACCCAAAATTACAGCTTCCTTCAGTCTAGCTTCAAGAGGTTTAACTATTATATATCTGTGTACCTGAGCACGTGTGAATTTGACTCATTGACAAGTTAATTTGCCATAGAAAAAATACCGATGCCTCAAGGGTCTGCATGCAACAAAGTAACCGATAACATTCCACTTCTATCACTATCCCACAATTGTGCACACATGTTCTCAAGTTGTGCATGCCTTGCATGTCGGGCTTAATATCAAATCCATTGTGTACAATAGAAAACTCCTGGTATTTGCATGTGCCTGATTGTATGTTGAACTTCTTTTGTACCGTACATAGCAAACCGTGCGAAGCAGAGGTGCGGGGAAAGGAAACAAACTAAGCACAACAAGTAGTTCTAAAGAAATTAGTTTTCAATTTTAAAAAATGAGTTTTCAACTTAGATATTAGATATGTGTGCATTAGTGTGCAATGACATTGGTATTTTGTTAATGGTTCTCTTCTGTGTGCCCCCAGGACTGCTGGATCTAAAGATGAGCATAGCCCCACAATGCTACCCAGAGACACCAGCACCATGCGTCGCTTTGGTGGCGGCCACACCCTGAGTGATGGCGATGTGGAGAAGATCGAGAAAATGTTCGACTCCGAGCCAGCACCACGGGGACGAAGAGGAGCATTCTTGAATCAACAGAACGTATCTGCAGGTGCGAGAGCCACAGCCATATTGACCATTCGATAAGATGAAGCAGCTGTACTGGTAGTGGTGCATGAACACAGGGTGATAACAGTCCACTTCACTACCCCCATGGGCAGTTTTTCTCAAGATGTGAACAGGTGGCCACCGGATGCCTGAGAAATACGTGAGACTGTCGAAGCTGCATGCTGTAGGAAACACGGTGTCTCCTTGGCTGCCGTAAGCAGAGGCTGGGTGCTGAGTCTTAATGTAACATTGGCTTTCGGGTTAAGGCAATGTTCGTTGAACTAGTGTGGAAGAATCTTCAGCATGTAATTTTTTCATTTTTGGTCAACCCAGCAATCGTGATAGTGCAGTGCATGTGCCTTGATCTGATTAGATGCTATTTTGACAAGTGAGGAAATCCGGAGATTTGCGTTCTTGGTCAATAGTGGCGCCGCAATGTGATAGAGGGGGGCTAGAGCTGATGCCCCCCACCTGGCATACTGGAGGTCTAACAATAAGCTCACCCCACCACCCTCCCCTTACTTGTGGGCGTCAATGGGTTTGGCTTGGCATTGGATAAAAAATGTAACCAGATCAGATGATCAGATGACTTTGCAAGCACCCGCATATGATAGGACAAAAACTAGATTCGAAGCTTTCGTGAGTGCATGAATTACTCGTTGGTTCTTTCGGTAAAGTCACGTGGAAAGAAAATAAATTAAATAATAATAGAATACGACGTTTCGATTGCAAAACAAGCAACCATCATCAGGTGCGAATGAATGAGAAACCAAACATAGCAAACTTAGAAATATAATGCAATACAACTCAGAGAGTCGGCTACTTGTGTGTCTGTCTGTGTCTCCGTGTCTGTGTTTTGTCTCTTTCTCAAATTTAGCATTCTTTGGAAGAACGTTAATCAACCAGGTAGGATGTTGACTCTCTGAGTTGTATGGCATTATATTTCTAAGTGTGCTATGTTTGTTTTCTCATTCATTCGTACCTGATGATGGTTGCATGTGTTGCAATCGAAATGTCTTCTATTATTATAAAAATATATATTTCTACGTGACTTTACCGAAAGAACCAAAGAGTAATTCCTGCAGTCACAAAAGCTTTGAATCTAGTTTGAACCACCTCTATGGGGAGGACTTGCCGTGTTTGTTTCACACGTAACTTCTAATTTAGCCATCTGTGGAAGAACATAATCAACCAGGGTATGCGTTAACTGTGCTAACTGACTCTCTGGTTTGCATTGCATTACACTTTCTAATTTTACTAAACTTGCTTTCTCCGTGCTTGTTTGTAAGTCTATTGTCTCTCCTCCGGCCGCTATGAGCTGGAATTCCACACAACTCTCCGTACTTGTTTCTTTAGACGTCCAGTGTCGCTCCTCCGCCCGCTATGGGCAGGAATTCCACACAACTCTCTCATTGTTTTCTACCCCCCCTCTGCCCCCCCTCTCTATTTAAGGCCGCGACACAGAGGTGTTGTCTTTCTGTGTGTCTATGTGTGCGTCTCTCTCTGTGTGTCCCTCTCTGTGTGTTCTCTCTCTACTTGTGTGTCTGTCTGTGTCTCCGTGTCTGTTTTGTCTCTCTCTCAAATGTAGCATTCTTTGGAAGAACTTTAATGAACCAGGTAGGATGTTGACTGTTGTGTTAGCCGACTCTCTGAGTTGTATTATATTTCTAAGTTTGCTATGTTTTTTTCTCATTCATTCATACCTGATGATGGTTGCTTGTGTTGCAATCGAAACGTCGTATTCTATTATTAATTAATTTATTTTTTTCAACGTGACTTTACCGAAAGAACCAAAGAGTAATGATAGGACATTTATGTACTATGAAAAAGGGTCCTTGCCTGAAACGTCACATTCGATTTCTCCTTTAAGGTTGCAGTGTTATTGATGCATGTGAGTTTTTATTTAATATTTTGTGCTTGTGCACCACTGCCAATGCAGTATCACTAATTAATTTGCTAATTTGAAGCGTGTCTATTTAGCTGATTGCTCGGAGCTTATTTAATTAACGTGAAGTATGATAATGATGCTGTAATATATTCCATAATTAAATATCTACAATACACTCCAAGTGGATTTCTTAGCCGAGTGTGAGACAGTAGTTCCTGGTTCGAACAATGGAGCCGAGGGGGTGGGACACCACGAGTCTCAGAAGCAGCTTAAGTAGCACGCCTTGTAACCTGTATACATTTCATTTCAGGTTTACTTATGGGTGCAATTATGTAACAATATTGCTTTAATATTTAAATGGCCTGTAGTTCATGTTCTTGGTTCTGTCAGTAAAGTCACGTAGATAGAAAATGAAATAAAATTATCAAATTAAATAAAAAATAATAAATTGAAAATAATAAAAGCAAAAAACCCACGACGTTTCTATCGCAACACAAGCGGTCTTCATCAGGCGTGACTTTACTAAAAGAACCAAGAATATTAATTCCTGCAGTCACGAAAGTTTTCAGTAAAAATTGGACTGTAGTTGTGTAATTCACACAGAATTATTACACATTTAAACAAACTGCCAAGTCCTATATAACCTTGTGCCACGGCAGATCTCTCGCCTACTTCAGCAGTTTTTTTTCTTGCTGTGGTTGTCTCACCTGATGACGATTGCTTGTGTTGCGATCGAAACGTCGTGATCTATTATTTTTCTACCTACGTGACTTTACCGAAAGAACCAAAGAGTATCATATAAATGCAAACATTATTAACTATGAAGCTGGATATGAAGTCACATGGCATGCAAATTCGCAACATATTAATGGTGGCCCTATTTTACTTACAGACAAATTGACAAACAGGTGGATGGAGCTAATGCATCAATGTTTTCAATCTTTGTTTGATGTCATATTTTTTTTTAAGTATTTGCAAAATGTGACTGTCATTCATAAAAGCACAATGTTGACAGAATATCCGGATTAACACGTAGACTTTCGAGGACACTGACTGATAACAAGGATGCCTGACAAATTGCTCCAATATGGATGGATTAATAACGTGAAAATTATTAAAGAATATGATTGCAAACGACATTCAATGACACTGAACAATTAAATTTGCACTTAATCAGAGGCAATGTATGACCGCTAATATCAGCACTTCACTTGCTTGATAATACACCATGCTCGTGGTGGTGGCACTGAGCAAATTTTGTTTAGTATTAGGAGAGTGGAGGGGTGACTTGATTGTAATCAAGTTGTGCGTGTGTGCTCGTGTGCCCTTTTGTGCAGGAGCTGGCCCCGTGCTCAGAGACGTTGGTGTCTCGGACTACTCCCTCGTGGAAGTGGTGGAAGTCTGGAATCAGGTACCATAACTGTGGCTTTATTGTGACTTGTAAAACCACCAGGTTATTTATACATTCTAGCATTCATCATAATGTAGTAATTAGGCATTTATTTGAAATGCATGGACATAGAATCTGCACAGCCATCTGTAATGGGGTTCTTTACTCTTTAGCATAATTACATTTTGAAGGGGTGGTGACATGCCCTAGCGGTAGCGCATTCACTGCCTTTTGCAGAGGGGTTTAAAGTTTGAATCAAGTGGCCTCCCTGGTGATTACTGCAGGTATAATACCTGTGAAGTATTCGGAATGACGGCAGGAAACCACTTGACGGGTAGCACACTTTAATAAATCTTGTCTTCTCACGATAACACGTGTGGTCACTATTTCTCACAATACACACTCCACTTGACACGTGTGGTCACTACTTCTCACACTACACATTCCACTTGACACGTGTGTTTACTACGGCTCACGCTACACATTCCACTTGACACGTGTGTTTACTACGGCTCACGCTGCACGCTCACGCTACACGCTCACGGTGCACGCTCACAGCCACTCCAGCCCCGTAGCGTCCGTGGAGCCTACAGACCCACCCCAGCTTGGGCGTGGGCCACGACCTCTGGGTCCCGCGTGCCGGCCCTCACACGGACGTTCGGCCCCGGGTCCCAAGGTCCCGCCTCTGAGCCACACAGGGCCCCGGTCCTTACAAGGACAGCGGGACTAGGTGCCTCAGGGCCCTATCTCTCCCTCCTCCGTCTTCTGTCTTCACTGGTCACCAACAACTCCCCGTGCGCCTGTGCGCACCGCCTTATATAGCCTCCGCTCCCGGGAGACGGAGCGTATGCGGACCGCGACGTGAACACCCCCTTAGTTGACCAATCCCCACGCGCTGCCTCACGATCCCCTCGCTGTCAGCGCGCGTCACCGATACCCAGCCAATCACCGCCTCATAACCCATGACCCCGCGCTGACCCATGATCCTTCACCGTCAGTGCGCGTCACCAACACACACAGCCAATCACTACGCGCTGGCACACGATCCTTACCCCAGCGCGTATCACCACTACATCACCCCCTCCCACATAGCTCGCAGCCGGCCCGGCTGCTAAACAACACAACAACAACAACAATAGTAACAACAAAAAAATCCCCACCCCCCAGTGTGCCCCGTAACACAACAACAACAACACAACGACACAACACCAGACAACAACCTATGTACAAACCGACGAAGAACACAATAAAAAGTCAACAACAACATACAACACCAGACAACAAGCTATGTACAAACCGACGAACAACACAATAAAAGCAAGTCCAAGAAAAAAAACGTGTCCAGTGTCTCTGTAACTATCGATCCCCCCCTCCGCTCGCTCCTCAACCGGGGTGATAGAGCGGTCGAGCGGATGAGGAACGCAGTGACGAGACGCTCCGGCCGCATCGGCCCCTCATTCAGTTGGTCAGGAAAAGTTGCGCGACTTAGCGCGAGTCCGCCTGGCCGGTCCATCGTACGGGACGGGACGCTGACGACCGTCTGGTGGCTCCGGCAGCCCCGGAAGGCGCGGATCGGGCCTGGAAGGACCGGCCGTGTCGCGGGGATCCGGCCGCCGGTGGTCGGCAGCTGTCAGTTCCGAGCCACCTGGGAGCGGATCAGGCGGAGACATGTGAGGATCAGGCGGAGACATTTCCCCCCTCGGGTCGTCGGTCACGTCACATGCTCGGTCCTCACGACACAAAGGGAGGCCATATGGAGGCGAGAACGGTTTCAGCCGGGAGGAGTGGATGTGTAGAGGTGATACGCGCTGGGATTAGGGATCGTATGCACAGTGCGTGAGGATTGGCTGTGTAGGTGGTGACGCGCGCTGACGGTGGAGGATCAGGGGTCAGCGCGGGGTCGTGGGTTACGGGGTACTGATTGGCTGTGGACCGGTGACGTGCTGAGAGGGAGTGATCGGGTGGCAGCGCGGTGTGATTGGTGGAGGAGTGTTAACACGCGCTGGGGAAACCGGATCGTAGAGAGAGTGCGTCGTGATTGGTTCATTAAGGAGCGATGCTCATGCTGAAGTACGCATCAGCTCCGCCTCTCGTGAGCAGGGGCTATAAAAGGGGATGCACACAGGCGTAAGGGCAGTGTGTAACCAGCGAAGAATGAAGACGGAGATGAAGACCTAGAGCCCTGCGGTACCTAGCCCCGCTGTCCTAAGGGGACCGGGACTCTGTGTAACCCAGAGGCGAGTGTAGTGTGTGTAGCCATAGGTCTACACGAGTCGAGTGTATTGTGTAGCCAGAGGCATAGGGCTTACACGAGTCGAGTGTAGTGTGTGTAGCCATAGGTCTACACGAGTCGAGTGTATTGTGTAGCCAGAGGCATAGGGCTTACACGAGTCGAGTGTAGTGTGTGTAGCCAGAGGCATAGGGTCTACACGAGTCAAGTGTATCGGGTGTAGCCAGAGGCCTAGAGTTTACACGAGATTAGTGGAGTGTGTCGTCGGAAGAAGGAAGACCACACGTTGTATTGTGACACGTAAAGATTTAATAAAAGTGTGTTACCCGTCAAGAAGTTCCTGCCGTCAATTCCCATACTTCAACTGGCGTCAGAAGTGAAACGGTCCTCCAAGCATGGATACAAGGAGGAGCCGTCGGACCCACGGGATTGACCACGGGGACAACCTCGACGACGCGGGCCAGCGGGCATCAGGGGGTGAGGAAGAGGAGCTGCCCACGGGGCAGGATCCACCGACGGCGCCGGACGAGCGACGGGGGACTGACACCGTGCTTCGCGAGGCACACTCCCGTCTGGCGGAGCTGCTGCTCGCCGCCGCGTCTATCCTGGCGGAAATCAGCTCGTCGGGAGGAGCGGAGACGGCGGCCGACGTGCTACAGGGTCGCCCTGCAGATTCCCGCCAAAACGATTTGGCGATTCCCGCCATTTCATCCGCTCCAACTTTTGGCGGGAACGGCCATCACCACGTGGCAGCGGTTCTCCATGCGCGCCCGCTGACGTCACCAACGCGCGCGGCGGACCGCCATCACACACCCGCCACTGGGGCCGCCATCTTGCACACCGACGGGGGGGCAGAGAGGAAGCACGAGGAGGAGGACGACTTTATCTTTCAGCAGCGCCTTCCCACGTTGTCAGCATTCAAGGCGGAAGGCGGGGATTGGAGCCAATTTCAGCGCAGATTTTTGGCGCATCAAGAGATGTCCGCCTGGTCCGACGCTACGGCACTGCGGGCACTGCCTGCCATGCTGGACGACAACGCGCTCGCGGCCTTCACGTCCGCACGCAGGTCGGACCGCTCCACGCTCAAGGATGCGCTGGCTCTCATGGCCAAAGTCTACGGTCCTCCCTCGGCGTGCCGCCATCATTTCTACGCAAGACGGAAGGCGGACACGGAGACCGTGCTCGCCTACCGCACGGCGTTGCTCGCTCTCGCTGACGCCGCGTTCCCTCGTATGGACGAGGAGGGCCAAGATGCGATGGTTTTGGAGCAGCTGCTCAAGTTGGCGCAGGACCTGGGGGTCCCCATCAACACGGCCGACGAGACCGATATTTCTTCATTACGGGTCGCCACGAGCATGCAAGCGCACGAGGTCCTTCAACGAAAGCAGGGGGTCGTCTGCAACGCTGCCGTGGCCTCAACTCCGGGTCCGGTTGACACCGTGCCCCAAGTCGTCAGCCCACGAGAGGACGCGTTCATCGCGGGACGAGCGGGGGACTGGAGGTCGGGGGGTCGTTCGCCTCTGCGAGCGGCCCGCAAGCTGGAGCAACCGAGATCTCCGACTACTGTCATCACCTGCTATAACTGCGGCCTTCGTGGCCACGTGGCCTCCGGTTGCCGCGCCCCACGTCAGCGCGCCATGGGACCTCGGCTGGACGACGACCAAGGCCCCAAGTCATCACTGCAAACCCCGGCAAGTCGCGGCACCTCACATGCTTGGCCCGCATACTCGACACGTATGGGTCGTCGCGTTGCGACGAGGGAGAGCCGAGTAGAGTTCGGGGATTCGGTTCGGAGAGGGGGGTTCGGCCGGGACCGGGGAGACATTAAATGGTCGGAATTGGGGCACAGAATAGTGGCTGCCTCAGCGGGTTCATCCGTCGTTACCGGATCGATTGATGGGGTCGAGGTCAGGGTGTTAGTGGACACGGGGGCATCGGCGACTATTATTTCGGATCTCATTTATAATATTCTCCCGGTACAATGTCGTCCGCTTCTTCCGGTGGATGTGCCATTTTACGCCGCTAACGGGGGATCGTTGGGCATTATCGGTCAGATTAGGGCGTCCATTTGCATTGGTGATATCAAATTGTCGGGACCCGTTTTCGTTTCATCTTCCCTGGCGGTTCCTTGCCTATTGGGCACTGATTTTTTGGCGAAAATGCCCATCAAAATTCTCATTGATCAGCGTTGCATTGAACTACCATCGGGTCGCCGTATTTCATTTTTGTCGAGCCCTAATGTAATTCGGACGGCGTGCGCTACCATTCAGGCGTTAGCAACACAGACCGTGCACGTGCCCCCGGGTTCACAAATGTTGATTCCCCTCCGGTTACGGAAGCCATGGGGGAAGGAGGCCTCGGAACAGGCCATGCTTTTGGGTCCTTCTAATAGGGCTGTTGGAGGTCTCGATTTATCGGTGGCTCACACTTTGGTTGGGGCAGACAGGGATCCGTTTGTCATGGTTTTAAACGCTGGGGCGCGGCCGGCCGTCATTCAGCAGGGCACCGTGCTGGCTCACGCGGCACGGGTCCCTGCGGAGGAGAGGTTGGTTGCGCAGGCTGATCCGAGCCCCACGAATAGCGTACCAGCGAAGGAGGACCTAGATTGGATTGATATGCTGTGCGCGGACTCTGACGATTTGTCAGCGGTACAGTTGGGTGCGTTGCGCGGGTTGCTGATTGAATTTTCGGATGTCTTCAGTAAACATAAGTATGATATCGGATGCACGGACCTGCTACGCCACCACATTGAAACGGGCGATGCGGCGCCGGTCAGGCAAAATCCCTTCCG